TGATCTTGTGTAGCCCAGGGTGGCCTTGCACTCACAGAGAGCCATCGGCTTCTGCCTCCCAAATCTTGGGATCAAAGGTATACGACACCACTGCCTGGCCTTTGATGGCTTGGTTTTGCCTTCTGATTTTCAGGCAAGCTTTATTTATTAAGCCATACATAAAATATCACTACAGGTATTTAGTAAATAAACCACGTATATAAGATGAATAAGGGACTCTGGCTCTGGATCCCTTCCTGTTGCAAGAAGTTTGCTTTCTTCCTTACTTATACTTTGAATAAAAATTAGCTTTGCAAAAATCTCAGCAGGAAGGCAGGGAGAAGAGTGAGGAGGAAGGCAGGGAGAAGAGTGAGGTGAGTGATGGCCTTGAACTTCAGCATTTGGGAGGCAGAGACCAAAGGGTTTCTGCTGAGTTCCAGTACAGCCGGGTCTACACAACACATTCCAGGTTATCTAGGGCTACCCAGAAACAAAATGACAAAACAGGCACAAATGATTGTGTAATGATTATGTAATGATTATAATTCACAACATATTACCAGCGTCACTATTTTGTACTGCTTTTTGGCTGTGCTACTAAAATGAATCAATTTGAATTGAATACAAGGTAGACACAAGCAAAGAACAAAGAAGCCAGGCTGGGTAACAAAAAGACATAATCCTAACTATTCAAGAGTCTGAGGAAAGAGGATCACCAAGTTCAAGGCCTGTCAGATAGACTGAGTTCAAAGATGCTATCTCAAACTGTAAAAAGGCCGGGGATATGCGTCACAGGGTACTCACTTGCACAGCTATGCTTGTGGCTCTAGATTCAATCCCCAGCACTTGGTGGGGAGGGGCGAGCAAACACAAATTAAGGACTTGCTCAAGAGAAAAATAAAATTGGATTTGTACTTTTTCACCTTTTGGGAAAAATTAGCGAACGTGCTTGAATCCATACAAATGTTTAAGGAAAATCGTAACACTTACTTTCAATATATATTCTTTTTAATGGAAGACGCAACACGCAATTGTCAGAAATAATCTTTTAGCTTCTTCCAGCTTTCTACAACGAAGTCAAGCAAATGTCTCTGAAATATAAAGCAAAGACTCAAGTAAATTGTAATATTTAGCAAGTACTCATTTAAGTAAAATGGGAATATCACTGAGTGATTTGTAGCAAATTACTGTTTTCCATCAAAACTTATATAATCCTCAAATGATCTAACTTAAGACGAACCCTAGCAGTCGGGAAGCAGAGATAGGTAAATTTGAGTTCAAGGCCAGCCTGATCTATATAGCTTTAGGGTAGCCAGGGTAACACATTGAGACCTTGCCTCAAAAACAAAACAACAATAAAACCCACTTTGGGAAACTAAAAAAAACCTTTTTTTGTAAATTCTTGGACATATGCCTACTATGACTCAGTAATTCATGTATATACCAGAAATACACACACATCATGAAAAGACACGAACCAAAATGTGCCCATTAGTAGTATAGAGCAACAAAATTAATCCAATTATTAATTCAATATCACTCTTGTGGCTTGGAACTGAAATCTCCCCAAAGGTCAGCTGTTATGTCGGAAACTGACTGCCTCCTAGAGCAGCTGACCTCTTTGATGGATCACCTCTCGGCAGGTTCATGATTTGATGGGCTATTTGGGAGGTGATAGGAACTCTGAAGTCTTTTACAAACCAGGAAATGGGAGATGGAGAGAGGGCTCAGTGGTAAGAGCAACTGCTGCCCCTGTAGAAAACCCAGCACCTACGGGCCAGCTTAAAACCACTTTTAAGTCCAGTTCAAAGGGATCCAACAGCCTCTTGTATGCACTTGGTGCACAGACATTCAAGAGGGCAAACACTTCTACAGGTTAAAACAACAAAACAGGAGGTATAAAAGAGGACTTACGTAGAAGGAGTATGTTCTTAGGGCAAGTCTTTGGGGAGTTTTATCTTGTCTTGACCCTTTCTTCTGTTAGGATGTTAGGGACCCTAGACAGAATGTCTGAAATTGTGAGCTAAAATAAATCTTTCCGCGCTTTAGGTTTTCTGAATATTTTGTCATAGAAATGTGTTTTGACAAACACATACACACACAAAATGTAGGAAATCTCACAAAATGAAAAGATGCCAAATTAGATGGCTAATGTACAAATGGCCTGCTACCGGCTGTGCTTATGGTTGTTTCTTTCCAGAACTGAAGAATGACGTGTGTATAGTCACGAGCAGAAATGGTAACACACAGTTCAATGAACTGCTCTGCTTTACCCTCCACGCGCCACCTCATCACTGTCAGCAAAGGAACGGTAAATGGACTGCAAAGTCAGGCCTGGCTTGGCCAAAAGGGTTTGACTTTTAGAGATAGCCGCTGCAAGGTCTTGATGCCACAGATACCAGAAATCTGAAATATGCATAGCACCTAGAACAGAAGCCACACCCAAGACAAATGCACAAAGAAACTTCACGAAAAGCTGAGCCAAAACTCTTGACATTTGTATCTCACTTAATTCTTAAAGAAAAAAAAAATCCCAGAACAATATACCTAATACTTATAGTAGATGCTCAGTAAGTATTTGCCAATCAAAAGTAGGTGTTATCTTGGTACGGTAACAACAGGCCCAATTTTACCAATAATACAGCCGTAACCCTTAATTTAGAACAGCCAGATGCCACTGACTGTTCTTAAACTACCTTACCTTATATGTAAGTGTGAAAATAGACAGCATAATGTCAGAGCATTTACTTCTACCAGCTTAGTAAGTTAGACTTCCCAATGACAAATCCACTAGCTTCAATTTCCTAACCCACAGAATGGAGATAATAGTGTCTTTTCTATTCAACCATTAGTACTTGAAGCCTATGTGCTAAGCCTGTTCTAAGATTATCAGTAATAAGGTGGGAAAGTAATGCATGACAAACCCACATCTATCCTAAAATTTAAGGTGCCCCAGGAATTCCACCCCGTGAAACAGGAGCAGGAACATGCCAGAGACAAATGGTGGGGAAGGCACCTTTGGCAAACTGCTTAAGGTACATCTCCTGCCTGGTTTGTTTTTGTAGACAGGGTTTCTTTGGAGCGTGTCCTGGACTAGCTCTTGTAGACCAGGCTGGCCTTGAACTCAGAGATCCGCCTGCCTCTGCTCCTGAAAACTGGGATCAAAGGCGTGCGCCACCACCGCCCAGTTTCTTGCCCTCACATCAGGATCAAGATTATGGAATGAGACAGAACAGGATCACTGGATCTCTCTCTCTCTCCAATGTGGCAATACTGAAGAAATCTTTTTTCTGCTTTTCACTATTAACTTGGCCTTTAAAACATTTATTAGTGGGCGGTAGTGGCACACGCCTTTAATCCCAGCACTTGGGAGGCAGAAGCAGGAGGATCTCTGTGAGTTCCAGGCCAGCCTGATCTACAGAGAGTTGCAGGACAGGGTACAAAGTTACACAGAGAAACCCTTTCTTGGGGGAAAATTTTGTTATTGTTGTTGTTAGGTGGTAGTGGCACACACCTTTAAGCCCAGCATCCAGGAGGCAGAGACATATGAATCTCTTTGAGGCCAGCCTGGTCTAAAAGTGAGTTCCAGATCACCCAGGCCTATTATACAGAGAAACACTGGCTCAAGAGAAAGAATTTTTTTTTTTAAATAAATTTTGTGCCTCTGTGTGTGTGTTTTCCCAGTGCCACAGCACTCATGTGGAGGCAGAGGACAACTGACAGAAGCAGGTTTTCTCCTTCCAACCACTGAGTTCCTGGGTTCTAGCTTATGTCAAGGGGCAATATTGAATGTATCAATTTGTAGATCCTAATTTGGCTCTTTTAATTGGAATGCTGAGGACAAGTGGCAGAAGTTGGCTTGTTAGGGCACAGTTTGTGATCCTAAATCTGATAATGCTACTTTCTTGAAGTTATGTAATTCACAATTCAATGCAAAACACTGAACTCAGTTTCACAGAATTCAGAAATCTCCCAACATCCAAACATTGCCCTCTAATACAGCTTTTAAAAACCAATTCTAGCTGGGCGGTGGTGGTGCTTGCCATTAATCCTAGCACTCAGGAGGCAGAGGAAGGCAAGCTCTGAGTTCGAGGCCAGCTTGGTCTACAGTTAGTTCCAGCTCTGCCAGAGCAACAGTAAAATCCTGTCTTAAAAAAACCAAAATAGGAAGAGTATAATCATTCGACTTCTATGGACAACTAAAATGGCCTTATCATTGCAGTTTTACCCGTACTAATCGCGAGTAGGAATCTCGCCTCTCAAGCCTTAGGAACCCCACTTTCTCCAACTGTTAGAAGAGAAGGGCATTCGGCTCTAAGCTAGTCCCTTACGAAGCAGAAAGCGGGCCATTAGACCTCTTCTATGACTGGGATGAAAGCCCACTATTTGGAGAGGAGTCCTGAGAAGGCCGGGACGCCCAAGTCACAAGAGGTGACTTACAGAAAGTCTCTCTCTGGACGCAATCACTAGTTGGCAAAGTGGATAACAGCGTCAGCTCCCGTTCCAGGGAAATGGATGCGAGTGTTTATCCGAGGCAGGGCACGTGGAAAGCCAAACTCTCAGGCGCCAGAAGGCAGGGCACACCCACTTCTCCCGCAAAGCAGGAAGTATCCCAGGACCTCAGTGGGGCAAGAAGGGTCTGTCTGCTGAGAACAGCGCCCGCCACTTAACAGGCTCTCGATGCACGTGTAGGGAACGAAATCAGTGAGACTGTGGAGAACGCCCTGCCACACTCACCACGCCGAAGCTTGCCAGGTCTGTCCGCTCCTCTGCACTTCCCACCGCTTCCAGTTCAGATCCTCGGGGAGCTGCACAACGCTCGCCCGGTCGAGCGGGTCTCCTCCGTGCACAACCTACCACACCACGTAAGCTCGGTACTGCCGCGCCGGGGAGGACTGGAAGTGGAGGAAAAAAGTTTTCGCGCCACTAGCCATAACCCCGCCCACAGCCTGATTCCGATTGGCGTTCCCAACCACCTCGCCACGCCCACCAAGGCCTCATGACGTGCTTCCGCCATCTCTGACGCCAGCCGTGCGCAGTCCCGGGGAATTGTTCTGCGTCGCAGTTTCCGGCTCCAAGTTGTTCGCTTTCTGCTGTTAGAAAGGCTTCCCCAGACGCCGGACGTCTTTTTTGCAAACTGGATGTGACGTGTTGAAGAAGCCGACGGAAATAGAATTGAAAGCGTTCTAAAATGGCGAACCGTACGGTCAAGGATGCGCACAGCATCCATGGCACCAACCCTCAGTATCTGGTGGAGAAGATCATTCGGACGCGAATCTATGAATCAAAGTACTGGAAAGAAGAGTGCTTTGGACTTACGGGTGAGTGACCACGCGCGACCCGCGTCTCGGCTTGCGGCTGGTTTCTTCTGACTCAGTGAGGAAGGATAGACCTTCGGGTGCTAGTACTGGAAAAGAGTATGTCAGCTCTTCACATAAACTGCTCTGTGCCTAGACTTGCACTAGACAGGACACAGACAAATCTGACAGGGTCTTTCCTGATGCTGAAGGATTTCTTTAGGTTCTTTGAGACATTCCAGGCTGGCCTCGAACTCAGAGATCCTCCTGCCGCTGCCTCCCGTTTAAAGGCGTGCGGCACCACCGCGCAACATCTGGGGGGTCATGACAGGCGCTTTTCTCCACGATTTGTTAAAGATTGAGGACTCACGAGTCCCACCCTTCCTTGATGGACGACGAACAATTGATGGGGGCTGGGATAAGGAGTATTTCTTCATTGGGGTAGTTCCAGGCAGTCATTCTTGTTACTATTGTCAATAAGCTCCTGTTCTCCTAATATTACATTCTTGCTGACTATTTAGGAGCTCTAAACCTTTAACCGTTTTCACCTTTCAACCAAGAAAAGCTAAGATCAATATTATATCTAAGATGTCTCTATTTGTGTTTGGTTATTTCAGCTGAACTTGTAGTCGACAAAGCCATGGAGTTAAGGTTTGTGGGTGGTGTCTACGGTGGAAACATAAAGCCAACTCCTTTCCTCTGTTTAACCTTGAAGATGCTTCAGATTCAGCCTGAGAAAGACATCATTGTTGAGTTCATAAAAAATGAAGATTTCAAGTGAGTACAATGTGGGCTATTACAAAATTCTCAGTGGTTCAGAATTGGGCTTTGTTAGCTGCCTGAGTGTTGTGTCTGTCATTGCAGGCTTTTGCCCTTGACCTAGTATTTTGACTGTCGTGGTTCCGTACACATTCTACTTTCATCAGTCTCGGGAGCTTCCCCTTCCTCCAAAAGCATTTTACAAATGAAATAAGTATACACAAATATATGTACATGTACACACACACACACTTATCTCAAAAAAAAATGTTGGTAGACCATAGATGAGGGGGTCATACAACAGAGGATTTTAGTTAACGGGTTAGATCTGTATCTTATCCAGACTTTGGTCCCTATTGACTGTGACCTTCTTTAATTTTTTAAGGTTACCGATGTGTGGTAAAGAAAGCTAGCTGCTCCATAGTATCCATTTTCTAGGAGTTCGGAGCCAGGTATAATAGTTGATCATGTACCGTGATGTATTTTAGGGGCTTTATATATAGTGATTCAATTTTGCATTCACACTAATGTTTTAAAAATATAATGACATTTTACATGGGAAGAAGCCAAGGCCCAGAGAGATGATAAATGGTTTGCCTAAGGATAGGCAACAATTATGGGGCAGGTCTGGGACTGAGGTACAGCTTGGTAGTAGAACAAATGCAGGGCTCTGGGTTTGTTTTTTAATTGAGATAGTGCCTCACAGTGTATCCTAACTGACCTTGTATTTATGGCAGTTCTCTGTCCTCTGCCTCCTGAGTGCTGGGCTGCAGGTACAAATCATGTCAGAATGCATAGTCTTTATATACTGTTCTTCCGCGATGAAGCTTGAATTTCAAATGGAGATTTGAGTAAGGAATTGGAAACACGAGATAAAGAAAAAGAAGGAATATTACCAAAAAAAAAAAAACTAGAAAAATAGCTTATGCTGTAAGAACTTAACACATGCTCGTGTCCTTCTAATATAGTTTCCCTTACATTTGTTTAAGGCACCAAGGCAGTTCATTAGGTTATAGCTTCTCCATTATAGAGATTGAGAAAGCAAGTTACATGTCTGCTATCAAAGTAATGTACGAAATCAGAATTTTAACTTCTATGACTTTGACCTTTTTCCAGAGCCTACATTTATGGCAATATATGTTTGTTCTAACATTGTTATAAAATGTATATAATACTTTGTGTTGTTAAATGTATTATCTTTTTGGAATCTTAGGCAAATTCTGTGAAGTTTTACAGATGGTATATCTGAAAGTTGAGCAACATATACCAATCTCCACAGCTAGTAATGGAGTAGGAAGTTCATTGGGTTTCCGTATTTTAGCCATCATCTCTTCTATGCTACTTCAAAATTATGGCTTTTTGTTTGTTTGTTTGTTTGTTTTGTTTTTGAGATAGGGTTTCTCTGTGTAACAACCTTGCTTGTCCTGGAGCTCACTCTGTAGACCAGGATGCCCTCAGACTCACAGATATCTGCCTGCCTATGCCTCGTGAGTGCTGGGATTAAAGGTATGCACCACCACCACCCAGCAATTATGGCTTTATTATCTGATAACAAGAAAAACAAAACAGAATACTTTTATCTAATATTGTCACGAGAAAAGTCAGTTATAAAACTCAGAAACTCTTAGGATGGCCTGTTGTTTCAATGTCCTCTCTCTGTTAGGTATGTCCGGATGTTGGGGGCACTTTACATGAGGCTGACAGGAACTGCAATTGATTGCTACAAGTACTTGGAGCCTTTATACAATGACTATCGCAAAATCAAAAGCCAGAACCGAAATGGGGGTGAGTATGATACCAAGTCTCTAGACTATTATTCCTCAGCCATTTGTGTTCTCCTGTATCTCCACTTGTTTTAGCAATCACTAAATGTTCCTCTTCATCTGCATTATTGCTGTCTTCACCCAAATTTTTCATCTCCCTCACTGGACACATAGCATCTGGTTAGCCTGAACCCTTTTGGCACATGACTACCTCCCTTTCCCGCTCATCTTATGGTAAACACTGACTTACGTCAGATAGATCTTTCACACGTACTCCATCCACAAGGTCTAGAAGCTTCGAATTGGTTTCTCTATAAAACCTGACTTAGCCTACCCAAAGTCATTCTCCAAATACCACAGCTTCACTTTTTTTCCCTGTAGGCTACTCGATGTTATACTTTGTAGACTAAATGGACCTGTGTTATTCATGTAGGTACTCCACTGAAAAGACTAAGCTTATCCAAGGAGAGAGGGACATTTCTATATGTTTTATACATACACCTTGGTTTTGTTTTGTCTTGAGGGCATGTGGCCCAAGTGGACCTTCAACACTGTGTAGCTAAGGAGGACTTCAAACTTCTGATTCTTTGGTCTGTGTCTCCAGAATATGGGAATTACAGGTGTGCATGACCATGCCTGTCTTTATTGGGGTGGGGGCGTATTGAAGAACTGAACCTCATCATGCATGTGAGATGAGTGTTCTGCCACTGAGCTCCAGGCCTTGCCCTCAGAGATACACCTTCTATGTTAAGGAAGGTTTTGTGGTAGTGCAAACAGAACCTCTTAATTGGAGATATGCCTTTCTTAGGAATATAGAAGATTGAAAATTTAATATAAGTTGAATATCTCTTATTCAAAATGACTTAGAACCAGAGTATTGTAGGTTTCAGTGAATTTTAGATTTTGCAATAGTTGTATAAACTGTCAGATAACATCCCTATTCAGAAACCTAAAATTCTGCAAAATCCAAAATGTAGTGAGTTTCATGTCCATGTTCAAAAAGTTTCAGACATAAGATCGTTTCAGATTTAGTTGTTTTGTCTTAGGCCTTCTCAGTCTGTATTGCACTTTAAACTTTTTATCATATTTCTTCACTGAACTAATATGTATTGAGAATTGATGATGTGCCAGGAGTTATGCCAGGGACTAGAAGCAACATGGTGAACAGACGGATATGACTGGTCATTTTTGAATGAGTTCCTTATATTGTGGTAAACTAAGATGGGATTTCTCAATGCCTTGACATTGTAGGCTAGGTAACTCTTTGTCTGGTGGTAGTCCTGTACATGACGATATGTAGGCAGCATCCCTGTACATTCCCTAAAGGACACAGCTAGACTTCAAGTAGGGTGGTAGAGGTATGCAAAGTCACTTGTTGTTCAGAACTATAAAACTAAGATAATATCAGTACGGGTTCTAAAAAAATGTGCCATTTTTGTGCTATGAAAAAAGAAATATTCTTTGTTTTAAGATTTTATTGTGTGTGTTTGTGTTTGTAATAAGCATATGTGCTATGGTGCATGTCGAAGTCAAAAGACAAATCTAAGAATTGGGCCTATTTTCCCACTGTGGGTTCCTAGGATCAAACTCAGATGATCAGGCTTGTGTGACAAGTGCTTTTATCTGCTGGGCTATACCATGGACCCCTAAAATAGAAATATTATATGTTTGGGGACATTAGGTTAATGGGAGAAATTAAAACTAAATGACTTATTAGTATTAACTTTGGTTATATAATCTTGACTTATCTATTCAGTGTTATCCTACATAATTCAAGACTATTTGTGCTTACTTTAATGTTTGTGTCCCAGTTTTTTGTTTTGTTTTGTTTTGTGGTGTTTGATAGGAATCGAATCCTAGAACCTCATATATATAAGGCAAGTACCTTACCACTGAACTATATCCACAGCCGATCTTTTATTACTTGGAATAGCCTTATTCATCTCTTAGTTCCTTGTTTCTAAAGAGGCTTGATTGGGCTGACACCTCCTGCCGTGTGTGACTTAAGCCTGGGACCCAGATGATGGAAGGAGAGAACAGACTCAGTTTTCCTCTAACCTCCACGCATGTACTGTGGCAGGAGCTTGCACACTTGTGTACATGTGCACACGCAGTACATAAATAATAAACAGAACTTAAAATGTTTAAAGAGCTTGAGGATTTAGCTCAGTGGCAGAACACTAGCTAGGTAAGCACAAGACCCCAGGTTCAGTCCCCATCTCCAAAGTAAGTAAATAAAGAGTGGTGGCATGTAAGGAGCTTCATGTGAAATGCCATGATTCTTCGACTCTTTGGTTAACTGCGTCTGCCATTCCCAGGGTGTTTGAACTAAGCCTTTTGCCTTCCAGAGTTTGAACTGATGCACGTGGATGAGTTCATCGATGAACTTCTGCACAGTGAGAGAGTCTGTGATATCATTTTGCCCCGGCTACAGGTATGAGACCAGGGTCTACTGTAGAGTCAACTTTTACCTCCCACACAAACACAAGTATATACTAAAACACTTAAGGGTTTTCTTAAAAAGTCTTTCTGTCACACTTTGTACAGGAGAGGGAATGAGATAGAAGCAGGGAATGTTTCCGGGGTAGGACGTTGGAAGTGAATAGCTAGAGAAAACATTTCTTCTTCAGGATATATTATCACAGGTCTGATAGCTGGAGTACTTTTTCTCATACTGGTGAGCTAGGCTATGAAACAGAAAAAAAGAATGTGAGCATTCAATCCCTTAAACGTCTTGTTTATCATCCTGCCTCACATCCCGTGATGACGATCCATGAAGGGTTGTGAGGTGGCTGGTGTTCTTGCTTTGTTTTGTTTTTCTGATAGTCTTGACCATATAGCAATAATCGGCCTGGAACTGACCATATAAACGTTGTGTCCTCTAGCCTGTCTTCAGTTGCTGGGATTATAGGCGGCACCACCATGTCTGGCTAAGACTGCATTTTTAGTTTTAAAGAGAAAAAAGATATGAAATGTGCTGTAGTGAAAAGTTGATTGGATAAGAATTTAACTCAAGTTCTTGCATTATTATAGAACCCAATCTATAAAATGGGAAATTCCTGTTGAAAAAAAGCAGGAGTGGGGAGCTTAACTCAAAGGAAAATGTGTCAGGTGTGGTGGTGCATTCTTTCAGCCCCAGCACTTAGGAAGCAAAGACAGGCAATTCTCTTATGACTTTAAAGCCAGCTTGGTCTACATAGAAAGTTCCAAGCTAGCCAGGGTTACATAATGAGACAGTGAAGGAAGGAATCAAGAAATCATTCTGCTCAATGTAGTGGTTTATTATTTGTGTTTTAATAAATAAAGCTTTCCTGAAGGTCAGAGGGCAAAGCAGCCACACTAGTCAGCCGTACAGGTCAGGCAGTGGTGACACACAATTTTAATCCCAGGACTCAGGAAACAGATCCAGATGGATCTGTTAGTTCAAGGCCACCCTGGGCTATACAAGATTGAATCTGTCTAAAAGAGAAACAGCTCACACACAGGTGATCCCAGCACTACGGAGGTTGGGACAGGAGTGATATGGCTGAGTGGAGAAAGGAATATAAGGGAGAAGAGACAGGAACTCAGTGGGGGTGTAGTCTGTAGGATTTGTGGAGACAGGATCTCGCCCATTTTTATCTCATTTAGAAATAAAAGCCAGTGGCTGACTGCTTTGTTTTTCTGATCTTCAGGTTGAACCCCAATCTTTGTCTCTGGGTTTTTATTATTTGTGCTTCAGCTTAATGTCTAGCTAAAGGAAAGCTAAGTGACTGTCTCCACCTGTTCCTCCCTTACATCTCTAAACTAGACCTACAGGACAATTTAAAGGCATGGAAGAGATTTTACTATCTTGATTGTAGTGTAAATTTCAAGTGTGTATTTTTATAATAAAACTTAAATTTTGTTGGGCGGTGGTGGTACACGCCTTTAATCCTAGCATTTGGGAGGCAGAGGCAGGCGAATCTCCGGGAGTTTGAGGCCAGCTCTGATCTACAAAGTGAGTTCCAGGACAGTCAGGACTGTTACACAGAGAAACCCTCTCTGGAAAAAACTTTATACTTTAAATATACTTTAAAAATACAGTTTTCATTGTATGTGAGAAAAGGCAAGTTGACTAGGATGGTGCATGTCTGTGATTACTAGTATTCCAGAGACTGAAGCAAGGAGATGTTGAGTTCAAGACAGCCAGTGACTACATAGGAAGTCTTATCTACAAAAAAAGAAAAAGGGGAAACCCTTAGGGCTGAGAAAATGGCTTAGTGGGTAAAACACTTGCTACTCAAGTCTAACACTCTGAGTACAGATCCTCAGAACTCACATACAGAGCTAGCATTTGCAGCAGTAATCCTAGCAGGCCACTAGGGAGATGGAAGACAGACAGGATAACTGCCAGGAGTTCACACGTCAGCTAATTTGGCATACACTGCAGTGAAGAAGACCCTGCATTAAACAAAGTGGAAGGCAAACCATGACACACAAGGTGGTCCTCTGCTTTGGCATACATGCTCACACTCACAGATAAAATTTTTAAAAATTGAAAGAAAAAAAGCCTCCACTGGAAAGATTGCGGCACAGCCTTTAATCACAGAACTTGGGAGGCAATCGCTAAATTTGGGGCCATCCTTGTGTAGTTCTAGGACAACCAAGCCTTCATTATGAACCCCTGTCAAAAAACAATGAAAAAAACAAACAAACAAAAAATACCAAAAAACAAAACAAGTCTGTGCTAGGAAAATGGCTCAGTGGATAAGAGTGCTTGTTCTGTAAACATGAGTACTCAGTTCAAATCTTCAGCACCAATGTAAAAAGCATGGCTGCTAAGTGCCTACTACGTAAGCTTGGCAGGCACAGAACTTCCTCGCCAGCAAGCTTCCAGTTCAGGGAAAGTCTGTCTCCGTGCAGCAAGATGGAGAGCAACAAAAGATACCCAAGGTCCTGTTCTGGACTTCCACGAGTAAGCATAGGCACGGATATTTGTACAGTTATGTACATGTATCATACAAATTAATAAGTTTGTCTTTATATAATTAAAACATTTATTTTTTAATTCATTTTATTTTTACTAATTATTATTAATAGAGTGCGCACCAAGGCATGTAAGGGCTAGAGGACAATTTCTGAGATTCAGTTCTCACCTTCTACCAGAGAATGCCAAAAGAAGGCATTGAATGGATCCTCTGGAGCTGGTAAGCCACCGTGCAGATAAGGTATTAAGAACTGAACTCTGGTCCTCTCCAAGTGCAGCAAGTGTTCTTAATTGCTAAATCATCTCTCCAGCCCTGAGGTTAACATTTTTGACTACATACTGATTTGACATTCCAGTGACCTTATAAGACCACAGGAAATAGAACCAATTGAAAATGAGCTTGTTCTCGGCATTGTTTATGTTTGTAGTAGAACTTAAAAGAGCATATAGGTGCCAGGGATATTAGCTTCTTAGGGAAGTCTTGAGGTACAATACTACTATACCTGAGCTGTTGCTTCACAACCTTTCTATCAACTCCAGAAACTCAGTGTTCCCATCAGGACCTGGAGGAAACAGCAGTGACTTAACTTTTACTGTGCTCTCTGTAGAAACGCTATGTACTGGAGGAAGCCGAGCAACTGGAGCCTCGAGTGAGTGCTCTAGAAGAGGACATGGATGACGTAGAGTCCAGTGAAGAGGAGGAAGAGGAAGATGAGAAGGTAAGGCATATGAAAGCTTTACAGGCTAGGAAGGAAGAAAATAGCCCTTGTTTTTCAAGCTTTAATTTTTAAATTAATGATAACCTTTTATTATTACTTTTTTTGTTTTGTTTTGTTTTTCTAGACAGGGTTTCTCTATGTAGCTCTGGCTGTCCTGAAACTCTCTCTGTAGACCAGGCTGGCCTCAAACTCAACAGAGGTTCACCTGCCTCTGCCTCCCGAGTGCTGGGATCAAAGGCGTGCGTCACCACCACCCAGCCTCTTTAAATCTTTTATGAAGTAATTATTTTGGGGATCCTTTTGGAGAAGGAGGGCCCTATTGTATGGATGAGGCTAGATAGACATTTCAGATCTGCCTCAGGGATGCTAGGATCACAGCCCTGTGTGTAAAAAAAAGGAGAGCTTATCTTCTCATTATAATGACCTCTTGAATGCCTCAGCTCTGTTATAGCAGTGGTATGAGCTTAACAGTCATGATTCCCCCTTCCCCCTACCCCCATTGAGTGAGGGATTGATTCCAATCTCGAAGGTAATAGTACTTTTCTCTGAACACTGCTGTGTAGGGTCTTAGTATATTTCCACATAATTGCAAATGTATGATAGCTATTAAATTTAGGGGAAAGGCTTGAACATACTCTAGAGGGAAGTTACCTTCTGCAGAGCCATATTTTGTCAGAACTATAATCACAGTGCTGAAAAGCTTGGACACAAGCTCCCAGCTGTCAGTGACTGAGGAGTCAGATTGTCAGCTTGGTCATCAGGCAGCGTTAGTAATGTGAAATAGCTTAGAGTAAAGGAGCTCTAAAGCATTTGTAATTAAATTCTAGGAAACATGCCTAGAAAGGACCATAAGGGCCGGTGGTGGCAGTGGTGCAACCCTTAATCCCAGTACTTGAGAAGCAGAAGCAGGCAGATCTCAGTGAGTTTGAAGCCAGTCTGGTCTATAAAGTGAGTTCCAAAGTCTACAAAGCCAGGGCTGTTACAGAGAAACCCTGTCTCAAAAAACCGAAAGAAAAAAAGTGGTGGTGGGGGGGGCAGAAGAAAATGGAAAGAAATGGTAACCTTGATGCACACGGCAGCACCTGCCTTTCATTCTAACCTTCCAGAGACGCAGAAACAGAGAATAGCCGGGGTTGCACAGTGAGACCCTGCCTCTAAAACTAAAAAGTTAACCTCAGATTAGGTTTTCTATTGGTGAAATAGTAACTATTTTTCCTCAACTTGGAATTATCTATTCCTGTCCCTTGTGGTTTTTCATTTTTTTAATCTCCCTTTTCTTCCACTGCATTGCCATCTTTGGCACAATTCCAAGTTGTAAATGTCATTCATCTATGACATTTTCTTCTGCTGGCAGATGTGTACAAGTAGGACCCTGCCCCAGCTGTATAGCTTCATAGTACGTCTTGACCGGCGTCTTGATACTTAGAACAGCAAATGTCTCTTCTACTCTTCTTCAGTACCGGCTTTCCTATTTTTGCTTCATTCTTTGTTCTCTCTTTATCTCTGTCTTATTTATATTTCTGTGTTATGTGTCTGGGTATGTGGACATGAATGCAGGTGCCCTCAGAGACCAGAGGTGTTACCCTGGAAGGGAGCTTATAGGTTATTGCGAGACATCCGACTCTGGAAATCCAGTTTAAGGAAATAAGCCTTTTTTTCCGTCTTTCAAGACGGAATGGATTCTCTGTGTAGCCCTTATTGTCTTAGAACTTGTTTTGTAGATGAGCTTGACCTTGAAATCAGAGACCCTCTACCTCCTTCCAGCTTGGGATTAAAGGCGTGCACCACCACAGTTTGCACTATTTTTTCCTACTGTACTCAAACATTCATAGGCTGATATTGGTAATTCTTTTTTTAAGACAGGGTTTCTCTGTGTAGACCAGGCTGGCCTCAAACTCAGAGATCGGCCTGCCTCTGCCTCCCGAGTGCTGGGATTAAAGGTGTGCACTGCCACCACCCCGCCTGGTAATTCTTTTTGTCACTAAGACTACCCCTTTATGTAGTCAAATCACGATTGTAGAGTCACTTAAAAGATGTCCATTGGAACAGAATAGGGAGGGAACCATAGCTGTGTTTTTGCGTGGCTTCCTTTAGTAAAAGCCAGTACTCATCCATCTTGTTTCAAGCTGGAAAGGGTACCATCACCTGATCACCGACGAAGAAGCTACCGGGACTTGGACAAGCCACGGCGCTCTCCTGCACTGCGCTACAGGAGAAGTCGGAGTCGGTCTCCCAGGAGGTAGGGCTGGAACACCACAGCCTAGGAATCTGACTTTCAGGGAAGGAAAGTATTAGCCTATAGAGATGTTTACCAGGGTATATGTTTCCTTGTTCCTACTGAATTATCATCACCCATAAAATCTCATTGGCAGAAGGGGAAAAAAGCCATTTTTTAAATATACTTAGCTTGTGGTCAGTGAATTAAGCTGGGCTTGGATATACAATTGAGTTATGTTTCTTAGCTCACTTGTTGTGATTATGTATTTCCCAGGTAGTATAGAGTAACCTTAAAAAGGATGGCTATTACAGCTTCTCTGTATCTCCCATCCTCTAGTAGATTAAGTTGGTTATGTTTTGAAGATGGTGACAGAATACAAGACACAACAGATCCTTCCTGCAAGTGTTTTTCTCAAATGTGTATATTTGTTATTTTCCCACTGGTAAAACTAAATTGCACGGCTAGAGTGTTAGACGTTGACATTAAGACTACATTTAAGACATAGATACAAAAAAGAATCAGGTCTGGGGCCACTGTTCAGTGCCTAGCACTCCTCCCCTCTCAAAAAAGAAAATAGAAAAAAAACAGAGGGAGTAAATTTTATGTGTTTATTTTTGTGATTTACAAGATCCAGTGCACTAACATGCTCTTCCTCTTCCCACAGGCGAAGTAGATCCCCCAAAAGGAGAAGGTAGGTCCTGAGTCATTTCTGACAAGAGGGTGCTGAGCAGGGGAGAAGGGAACATGCTGAGCTGGCTGTTTTTCCATAGCCCTTCTCCCCGCCGAGAAAGACATAGGAGCAAGAGTCCACGACGCCATCGAAGCAGGTCCCGAGACAGACGACACAGATCCCGCTCTAAATCCCCAGGTATAGTATTTGGGCTCTTTCCTGCTTGTTTTAGTAAAGAAATCTAAAAGGAGCATTAAGACTCCTTCAACACAAATACATAATAGCACTACTACCTAACAGGAAAGGAGATGGGCATGGAATTCAAAAGTGAGAGTACTCATTAAGACTCTAGTGAGGGGAATACAATTTTTTGTTTGTTTTTGCTTTTATCTAAAATGCAAAAATAAGACCTAGTATAATATCGGTCAAAGCCTGAGCTAACATTTTGTGAAGTTAGCCATAATAATGCTCTGGATATTTCACTACTCCATTCCCTGCCACAACTAACTGCGGGGGGCCATCCTGACCAGCAGGAATGAACGCCACCAAAAACGAGAATTCCTTCTCTGGTCACATCTTTATTTGGAGCATTCCCTTGAGGAAAATTGGGGGAAGGGAAGATAGAGCAGGGACGAGAGAAAGCTTAGAGAGCGTTGGGCCCAGAGGCAGCTGCTTTTAAGCGGTGGAGAGGCTTGAACGCTGTCCTGATTGGTTAATGCCATTCTGCTGTTCTGAGCATGTGCAAGCAAGGGTGCAGGCAAGGGTGCTCAGCCCCACATGGCTACCTCCAAACTGCAGGACCACCTGTGCCTCCAGGTGGCTCCCAACAACTAACAACTAAACAGGTATAATAGTGAGTGGTTTACTCAGACTAGGCCAACAAAGCCTGGTGAGTGAAAGGAATTGGGGGAGGTGAGAATGATAGTCTATGAATGGGAAAACAAAAACTCTCATCCAATGACCTTTTCTTCCCTAGGTCACCACCGTAGTCACAGACATAGGAGTCACTCAAAGTCTCCTGAAAGGTACGGGTTAAACCTCTATTTTAAGAATTTAATTCTGGGCTGGGAAGGTGGCTCATTGGGTAAAGTGCTTCTCATGCAAGCATGAGAATTTTCCAATTCAACCCACAACACCTGTGTTAAAAGCGCCTGAAATCTTAGTGCTGGAGAGGCAGAAAGACCTATTGAATTTGCTAGCCAGCCAGTCTAGCCAATCAGCCAGCTTCAAGTTCAGTGAGACTCTGTCTCACAAAATAAAGTGGAGAATGAGTTAGGAAGACACTCGATGTTTACCTCTGGCTTCCACATGTGCACATGTACACATTTAAATCTTTATTCAATAGTTAAAGTTTTAAATATAACTGAGATGGGAAATTTTGATGCGGGTATTGGTAGTTCATTACAAGATAAAATAGGCTCCCCTCCTCCCCTGCCAATTTCTTTTGCACCTTGTTTCCCTTCTTGGAATTAAAACTTTGAATGGTGGTCTCAGTGATTCTGGGCTTTTTTCTTTTTAATTGTGTATATGTTTTTATCTGCATACAGTTAAGATGCCAGTGGAGGCCAAAAGTATGGAATCCCCAGGAACTGCATATATATTTGCAACCCACCCAATGTGGGTGCTGAGAACTAAACTTAGGTCCTCTATACCAGTGCCTGCTCTTAACCACTGAGCCATCTTTAGCCTAAGAACTAACTTTTAACACTTCTACAGTTGAATCCTTGAACAAGTCATTTTTAATTCATCTTTATTAGAACCCTGTGGGCCATGTACCCCATTAGGTATATTCTTACCCTGTGAAGAATTCTAATGGCTCATAGTGCTGTTCAGAACCATTAAAAACAAACAAACAATGTCCTGATAGGATCTCAGTGGCTCGAAGGAAAAAGTGCTTGCTGTGCACAGGGGTCCAAATCCTCAGAAACCAGTTAAAAACTAGTCAGGTGATTTTCACTACCTTGGATCCCAGCACTCTGAATAGGATCCTCAAAACAAGCTAGTTATCTAGACTAGCTTCATTTTGGGCTATAGTTTCCATTATGAGATCTGTTTTCTGTTACTGGGATAAATGACCCAAAGCAATAGGTTTATTTCAAATTATACTTCCAGGTAACAGTCTGTGATTGAGGGAAGTCAGGGTAGGGATCCAAGCAGGAACCATGGTGGAAAGCTGCTTACTTCCTTGAGCTCTGCTAGTTTTACACATCCTAGACCCAACTACATTCTGAAGGTGCTGTCCTCGGTGGACTAGGCCCTCCTACATCATTTAAGACAACCTCTCAGACATGGCCAAGGCCAGTTTAACGTAGAGAAATCCTCAATTGAGATTCCTTTTCCCAGCTGACTGAGTGTGTCAAGTTGATAAAATAAAAACTAAGCAGCACATCCTGCCTCAAAAAAGCACTTGAGGAAGACACAAGGGTCAGACTCCAGCCTCTACATGCACATGCACTCAACTGCATGTGCTCATTTGCAGGCATGCAACACACACACACACACACACAATTAATTTTGTGCTGGGTAAGGTGATAAACACCTGTAATCCCAGCACTGGGGAGGCAAAAGTGGGAAGCTGTCAACAAAACACACAAAGTGCATCTAATGTTTGTATCATCTCTATTCATCAGTGTCAGCATACTATGAATGTCTGTCTTCCTTATTTGCTCCTTAATTTAATGGTTTATTATCTCATTTCAGGTCTAAGAAAAGCCACAAGAAGAGCCGGAGAGGAAATGAGTAATGGATGCATTTTGATTTTAGTCTAGATGGCCTCCTGTGAATATGAGAATATCTGTTAAAGTGAAATGTTCAAGATCAGGCAGCTACGAGTATTGGGGTTTTTAAAAATCAAGTTCTTGTTTGTTTTGTTTTTATTTTAATATTACAGAGGTGCTAAGTTTTGTATCTCTTTGAATTATAATCAGCATCTTTGGAGGGTGTCTTTGACCAAATCAAGGTCAGGTTTTGACCTAACCAACTTACCAAGGGTAGAGAGGACCCGGGAGTTGGGGGAGATTCAGTACAATGAAGAGATGTAGTCACATGGCGACCCTTCTTATTTGTAATTAAACCTGACACAGTTGTCATTTATCTCTAGTTTCTCTATGACACCCTAGAATGCAGTGGTTTATGCTGCTGTGACCCACTAGTGAAGCATAGCACTTCTCACTGACTACAGACAGCAGCAGAAACAAACACAAACACACAGTTACTAGTTAGTGGTTTTGTAAGAACGGAACACATTCAAACGTGAAGGTTTTTCTGGAATTTTTTTTAATTCAGTTTCATTAAACAATTCAACATGATTGCAATTAACATCCTTTATACAAGCCAGGTATGGTGGTTCATACCTGTAATCTCAACACAGGCTGAAGCAGAATACTGTGAGTTTTTACCTAGGTTGCTTTTAGTGGGTATGAAGTGAGAGGGTTGTGATGGTAATGAAAATGACACATTCTGTTTAAGACAGCTGCAGTATTTCTACATGGATAGAAAGAGAGACTAGTAGGGTTCAGCGTGATGATCTAGGCCAGAACTGACAATTGTCAAAGACATTTAGATTCCCAGGGAGTATCAGTAGATTTAAAAACAGCAGCAGCACCACAGGCAATGCCAACAACTGTGACTAGTAATACAGGTCACCTAGTAAATACTGGAATGAGCCATTCACAAAGGTAGAATCAGTATGTCAAGGACACTGAAGGGTCTGAAGATATAGAAGCAAAATAAAAGCTTTACTAAGTCCATAGGCTTAATACTGATACTATAGAGTATTATGGTCTTAACTAAAACAATTCCTTCTGCCTGTACTTACCTTTCCTCCTTTAAGAGGGTAGAAATGACTGACTTCTTGTCAGTATAATCCTAGGAAGAACTGTAAAGACCAGCTGCCTTAGAGGAACCAGCTTCTCAGGAAGTCATATCTGGTCCTAGGATAAGCATTTCTATTGTTTGCTGTTGATTGGGGAACTTCTGTAGCAATATTAAAGCATTTCTTTTATTTGCACTTTCATATTCTTTACTCATTCCTCTAACCATGATACCTAAATTAATAAGGGAATTAATAAAGTTGTAAGACCTATTATAGCTTATGGCCACAACTATATTTTGTGGCTTTTAAAATTAAATATATCTCCACTCAGGTTTGGTAGAAATTCCTAAGTTATTTCTTACTGAGGTGATTTAGGTGGAAAAAGATGCCTCTGGCTACATGATCCATGGGCCAACCAAGCACCATCAATTTAAAAGTTTTAATATTAAGGTAAATTTAAAGAACAATAAGCCTACAACAGAAAGACCCAACAATCTTTTATGAGAAACCTTTCCAAAATTTAAAGTATACGTTAGATATGGTAGAATCTGGATCCATGGGCAGCAAGAAGCATACTACTACTACTTAGAACAAAGGAAATAAAAATAAGGGTGAGAGGGATATGTTGAATATTGGAGACCATTCTGACAAACCACACAGAATTACAGAGATGACATTTGAAGGATAGATTTGTCACCTGTTTTAACTATTAGTACATGAGGCCTTTGAATTTTAGCTTTGAAATTCTTAGGTTACAACATCGCCTTAGAAATGGTTTTACATCTCAGCTGTACACACGCATATATTCTTTGTGCTGAAACAGACTTTAAGAAACAAATATACAGGCCATGTGGTGGTGGCACACGCCTCTAATCCCAGAATTCAGGAGGCAGAAGCAGGCGGATCTCCAAGTTCAAGGCCAGCCTGGTCTACATAGAATGAGTTCCAGGACAGCCAGAGCTACACAAACCCTGTCTCAGGAAAACAAAAACCAACCAAACAAAAAACCAAATAATGCAAAGTGTATTCATATTAGCTTTACTAAGATTTTTTAAAATAAATATTCATGTGTATGTGTATGTCTCTAAGTGCAGAGGTACTACATGTACAAGTGCTGATAGGGGCCAGAAAAGGGTGTTGAATCACTTGAAGCTGGCGATTTCATTTGTGAGTAACCTGATATGGGAGCTGGGGTCCAAACCCCACTCCTCATGACTGAGCAGCAAATGCTTTTAACCACGAAGCCATTGTTCCAGTTCCTATAGTTAAGATTTTTAAACCACTATGTGGATTTCACTTTCCACAATTTGAAATCCAGTTCCTTAATAGCTTACATAGAACACAAGAACTTTAATAAATTAAGCCAGATGTGTTTTTCGAGGGAAAAGTGGCAGATTTGTAATAGAACAACCCAATGTAGCCTCATTAACCTCTTTCTGTTACTCCTCAGTAGTGTGATAATGAGTTTTAAACAAAGACCAGAAAATTGCACCAAGCCTAATGATCCCTGGGTCATATGAGGGAAAGAAGTCACTCCACTCTTTGGATCTTCACATGCAACCAGCATATACATATACACTAATAGAGGTGAAGAAAGAAAAGGTTTTGTTCATTTTTTATATTAAGCATCCTGACTTCTAAGAGAAACATGAAGCTAGAAAAATGAAAGGTGCCTCTTCTGTGTTTTATATAACTGTCCTTAGTCTTGAGAGCAATCTTGGAATTTGGCTTTCTTGTATGGAAAAACAGTTGTCATTTCAGTTTCTTAGCCACCTTCTAAGTCTAATGAAATGCGTTTCCAGGAGATAAGCATCAGTTCCGTAACTGCTGTGTTTGTTAAGATGGCACATAAGCACACTTTATAAAAGCATTGTGCATATACACTTATGATAATTCACTAGAATGATTGAAGTTCACCAGATAATTCTTAATTGACAGATTTTACTGTTTTACAAGTAATATGTGTTACCCTGTTTTCTTCAAGAAAGGCAAGTACTGTGGCTGTTTAGTCACCTTGCTAGCCCAAACTTTAACACCCTTTCTTTCTGTAAACACATCACATTATCATTTACAAGTAAAAGTGAGTTAGGAGCTTAATGTTTTATCTGGGAATCATTTTTATGGAAGGCACTGCTTCCTGCAGAGACTGAGTCCACTTCCTAGCATTTAATCAAGTAGCTCACTCACAACCACCTGTAACTCAGGTGATTAAACACTCTTTTAGACTCAGGGCATCTGTACTCCCAACGTGAAAATTTTTAAAAAACTTTCATTCTTTTACTCAACTAGAGTAAATCTACAAACAAAACAGCATTGTTTTCCCATTACTATGCATGTATTTTATTTACAGGAGAAAACAGCAAAATTGTCTAAAGGGCCTCACTATTATAGCAGCCTTGGCTGGCCTGGAACTGGGTATATAGACTGTGCTGGTTATGAAGGAGACCTATCTGCCTATGTCTTCCAAGTGCTGGGTTTAAAGATGTGTGCCACCACATGCAGCTAGTAGTATGATTTTTAATAATCTTATCTACTTTTGGTTTTTCAAGACAGAGTTTCTCTGTGTAACAATCCTGGCTGTCCTGAAACTTGCTTTATAGACAGGCTGACCCCGATGAGATCTGCCTGCTTTTGCCTCCCAAGTGTTAGGACTAAAGGCAGGCACCACCATCGCCCATCCGATTTTTAGTTTGTATTGATTGATTGATTGATTGATTGGGACTAACAGTCCTAGCTGTCCTAAAATTAGCTCTTGTATACCAGGCTGGCCTTGAACTCACAGAGATCTGTCTGCCTCTGCCTCCCGAATGCTGGGATTAACGACTTGTGCCACTACCACCCGGCCCATCCAAGTTTTAATAATCTTAATGGGCCAAGGTAAAACCACCTTCATGTCAAATGGCATACAAATTCTATCAAAAAATATCATTTTAAGAGTGTGTGTAGGACTGATCACTTTTTTAACTATTAACTGCTTTTTCAAACAAAACTGAGATATTATATAAATTATATTCTGTTCCTCAGTTTAGAACACAGTTTTGCAAACTGAAGGAAGGGCAGATATGCACAAAATTAGTGAATGGAACACTGTCATGTCAGACTAGTAAAATCTTGGTTAATAATACACTGCCTTCAGGAAAGGGGGGCTGAGCTAGCATGCTGCCTTTTTGGAATTTTTAAAAGGGTTTCTTTGTTTTTTTTTGTTTTCGGTGAAAAATCTTAAATATACACAAAAGCAGAAAGAACAGTGAAAAGAATATCATCCTCTTAATCTCTTGGTGAAATATTTCAGTGCTTAAAATATGTTATCTAATTATTATCATTATCAATATTTAAATACTCTTTGGTCGCTCAGGCTGGCCTGGAGCTCTAGGTAGTAGAGGATGACCTTGAATTTTTTTCCAGCTGTTTGAGAGGCTCACTATATAATCCTGACTAGCCTGGAACTTGCTGTGTAGATCAGGCTGGCTTCAAACTCAAGATCTACCTGCTTCTGCCTCCCAAGCACAAGGATTAAAGGTGTATACCATCATGCCTGACAGACCTTGAATTTCTTAATCCTCCTGCCTCCACCTAGAGAATGCTGGGATTGCAGGATGCTCCAAGTTGTTTTTAAACACAAAAGTACAGGGAGATCAGGTATATTATTAACAAAACAAAAGAGTTGATACCACTTTTAAGATTGTGAATCTGTAATGTAAAAAACAAACAAAACAAAACAAACAAAAAACATTAAATATATCTGTCCTTAACTTGGGGCTGTAAATATGGCAGGGATATCCTCAACCACCTGCATTTAAGGAATATTCCAAGTGGAAAATATTTCAATATATTTCAAGTGGAAAATACAGCAAAAGCTCAGTCTCTTATTTAAGTAATAACACACCTGGGGAAGCAGAACAAAAATAATACACTATTCTTAAAATTAAACTATTAGTTTTTGCAAACATCTGTAGTTTTATTTGGCAAATCTAATTTAGGGACTATGAAAAAAAGTAACTCACTGTAAAAGGAATAGCTAAAAAATATGCCACTGAATTTCAATATCCCACACATTTTCTGAAAACATTTTGCTTGATGAACAACTTCATGGCATATAATGATGGGGCTGAAAATTCGTGCTGCAGGTGTTATAATCTCAGAACTACCTATATACTACACACAGGTTTATAGTGACACTGGTGTATCAAACCTATTGTACTGCAGTTATAAAAAGGTACAGCACCCACAATTCTGTATAGTTCATAAAGTATATGTTTGTATAGTTAAAAGCATTTCTATTACTATAAGGGTGTGATTTATTCTCCTAGTAGCCGCCTCACACATCTCATGTTTGCGTGCCAAATAAACTGATTGACAGTATCTAAGCTTAAGCAAACACTGATGTTTGAGCAATGATGACATCACCACATCATGTATTTCTGAGAATACATCCCAGCTGCTACAGGGCTAATGACTGATCTCCAGTATTGATAAAAAAGTAACAATCCTGGCAAGTGTCTGTCCAGGACTCTGAATGGACAGTCTGGCACATACTAATTCTTCACCAAAAAAAATTTCTTCTCCTTTTAAAAGATTGGCGGCTGGGGTGGGGGTGGGGGGTTGTCTATAGATGGGAATGGGCTGGAGGAAAGGTATTGCTAGGGACTGAACCCAGTGTCTTGCACAAAGTAGGAAAGCTGTCTGCAACTCACCTATAACCCTAGCCCTCAAAAGATCTACTTCGAGTCAAACTGAGCGTGACATTGCTGCCTTTCTATTTCGCTTAATTGTTCTGCTCTGCAGTTTTCATTTTCAATAAAATGGACATGGCATCTGCTTCTGTCACCTTCATATGATAGTTGTGAAAAATCCAAAATAAAAGAAAAGACCTTTAAATCTCTAAAACTAACTCTGATTTAGAATAGTCACTTTTAAGTAAAATCTTTCCATTATTACAACATATTCCTATCATCTAAACCAGATGAATTAACCAAATTTGACTCTTGTCAAAAAGATTTATTAACTTAAAATAGAACTTCAAAATACAGACAAAAGCAACTTTCCATTCAAGTTTGAATATATTCAACATACAAGTATGTAAAAGAAAAATTTTTTGAATCTTTGTTGTAATTTTATTTTATTTTTTTTTTTTGACCTTTTAAAAAGATTTTGGCACTACAAGATTCTGTAAAGAATAGAAGTGACAAATTTAAAACACATGAAATCCTTCCCTAATCCTTAAGAACAATATATATAAAGTCTGGAGCAACCAAAGTATGAATACAGCTAATAGAAAATAAAGAATGTAATTTTTTAAATTCTCTCTTTATACAATTCATCAAGGTTAAACAAAACATAAAACTCCCTTAAAAATAGGGTAATAAAATAGATGAAATTTGTATCACTTATTTTAGTGATACCAGTAAAAACTATAGTTCATATTTATATACAAATAATACAGTGTTTAAAAACAGTCTTAGAATTTAAATAAGCTATCTAAACATGTGTGAAAATTTTAAATCAGGACCTGATTTGTTTTGCTTTCCTTAAATGTCACTTTTTCTGCTGAGTGTAACTGACACTGAGGTACGGATACCCTTGAGACAGCAGGATTGGCTGGTTGCTGTGGGTTGCCATCACTCTGACACGTTTCCTCTTGGTGGGTGGGGGCAACGCTCTCTACAGCGACGGGCAGCACATCTGTCTGCTGGAAATAACAGACAGCAGGCTGAAAGGCTTGTGCCTACTTACCTCACAGTCCATTAAGATAAACTTGTTACTTGTTACACAGTGCGTTAAAAATTGTTATAATAAAAGAAGAATGACAAAATAATTGGAGGGGAGAGGGGAAAAAAAAGAAGAGGAAAAAACCCACACAGAAAAACTGAAAACTCCTTTTCTAACTGACAGAACTTCCTCAGTTCTACAGCACTGCTCAAGAGATAAATTCAACCATAGTCAAGTTTGTGCCATTCACTCTATACCAGTGGTTCTCAGCCTTCCTAATGCTACAACCCTTTAATATAGTTCCTCGTGTTGTGGTGACCCTCAACCATAAAATTATTTTCATTGCTACTTTAATTTTGCTTTTGTGCTGAATCATAATGTAATGTGTTTTCTGATGGTTCTAGGTAACCCTGTGAAAGTCATCTGACCTCCAAAGCAGGTTAAGAACTGCTGCTCTATGCAAGTATCCAGCAGTTCACAGAGCAGAAAAGTTACTCCCTCTTGAGAGACTACTTTTATTTCCCCAAGATAGGATTTCTCTGGAGCCTGTCCTGGAATTCGCTCTGTAGACCAGGCTGGCTTCAAACTCACAAAGATCCTTCTGTCTCTGCCTCCCAAGTGCTGGGATTAAAGGTGTGCACCACCACTGCCATTGAGACTGATACTTTTGAAGTAAGAAGTTAGATAAAATAGTCTTAGTTCTTAAAATGTATGAATTGCAATCCTTATTACCTCAGTCACAGCTATTATACTATTAATATAGTAATGGAATATAATTAACTCTAAATTTACTAAGTGAAGTTGAAAACTCCTTTACAGAATTTTTCCGGCTACCTTCCCTATCTAGCATTACCATTTATTTAAATATCATTACCATCCACCTCCTTTTTTCCCTGGTATTCCCCCCCCCCTTTTTTTTGGTGACAGGGGTGGGAAGAGTTCAAGACGGGGTTCTCAGTATAACAGTTCTGACTGACTGTCTTGAACTCTTTTTGTAGACCATCTGGCCTCAAAGTCACTAAGATTCACCTGCCTCTGCCTCCCAAGAGCTGGGATTAAAGACAAGAACCACCACTGCCTGGCTGGTTATTTTCTTTTTTTATGTCACCCAAAATTCATTGACATATGTATTCCCTTAACTGAGAACACATTCCTTCCTTCTAAATTCTAGAGTAATAAATAGTTCTCATATTACAAGCTGGAATTCAGATGCAATCTCTGGTACCTAAACCCTGCCTGGTAGAGGGACTAGGTGACTTCATTCTTCTAAACAATATTTTGTCTCTTTTTTCCATGGTTGGCTCTCCTATTAAATTGTGCATTAATATGGGCAGCTTGGACAATAAATACTGCATATAGTCTAGCATATTCATACAATATGCTCTCAATAAATATTTACTGAATGCAAATGTTTCAGAATCCTCAGTGGAGGATTCTGGCCTCCACTGAGATTCCCATTTTAGAATACCCACCCAGGTTGATAACTGATTTGTAAGTACTGTTACCTTGAGCGTAGAAGGGTTTGTTGGGCTGAAATCTTGGATTTCCCTGATGCATGAAGTTTTGATGCAAACCATAAGGCCACGAAGCTGGGACAAGGGGGAAATGGGGACGTGGTGCATGTTCCCATGGAATTGGAGGAGTGAGTCCTCGAAATCGTGGCTCTGCATCCCAACAAGGGAAAAAAAAAAGTATTTTAAAATATTAGTTTACTAATCCAAATATTCCTTCATTCTAGAGACATACTGAGTAACTATCATCAACTATGTATTACACTAATCCTGATACCAAATTTCTTTTAAAGAATCAAGCATTATTATTTGTTCAAATTACTTGTATACACAATATATACAATAATATGTCAGTTATATCAAAGATGGCTAATAGAATGAGAATGTGAGAAGTTTTCTTACCGTCACTAATTAGAATTTTAAAGAACAGACAAAAGTGGCAGAAAGGGCATTTTAGGATGAGAATGTATAAAGGCAAGAAAGTTGGGGAATACAAAACAATCACTGTCAAACTGAGCATGGTGGTGGTGCACACCTTAAATCCCAACACTTGAGGCAGAGGCAGGTGGATCTCTGTGAAGATCGAGGCCATCCTGGTTGACACAAGGAGTTCAGGACAGCCAAGACTACAGAGACCCTATCTCAAAAACAAAAAACAAACCCCTACACATGAAACAACTACCCAACAAACAGGAAGATAAAGAAATGGTCAGGTTGGTGGGGATAAACATCTCAAAGAATCTTAATACATCATGCTACAAAACTTAGGTTTTTACCATTATGATAATGTCAACTAGGTCAGAATTCTAGGACTGAAAAGCTTTTACAAAAAAGTTGAGGTACTGTGGTTTAAAACCTGGGTTTTGGAACCAAACATATGTAAGTTCAAATCACAGTTCTGAAAATTGCTATGACTCCTTTTGCATCCTCAGGTTGTAAATGATGATTGAAAAAAAAATTAATGGGCTTACATACACTCTGGAAAACAAATAAGAACACGCACATGCACTGGATCTAGGTAAAATGGGTACTTCCTTAACAGTCTGGGCTTGAGTCCAGGAATTCTCAGTGGAAGGGAAAAACAGACTCCTGAAAGGTATCCTCTAACCTCCAAACATGAGGTATAGCATGTGTAAGCCTGCACAGGTGTACACACAGCAAAAAAAAAAAAAAAAAAAGGAAACAGGAGTCATGTTCTTCCTATGGCCAATCTCAACAATGTCTTGTTGGTGTCTTTAAGGTGCATTTTTTTCAAAGTATAATACCTACCCAAACTGGTTGTTTCTAATCGTTTTTCTCATTTAGGTAACAATATATGAGAAAGGAACTGAAAGACACTTCTATCCTTTTGACTCCTGTTAGGAGATATAGAATGGAAAAGCTTGTATTTGCTACAGTTTCATAATCAGTCTTCTTGGGAGGCAATCAGAAAAGGCTGGTTTGCAAAGTTTAGAAAGTCACCGTACAATTAACAGAGCTAAACTTAAGGACTTGGAGTTTACAAATAACTGAGAATTGGGTATCATCATGGCCAACTAAGAAATGATATTTTAACATAAGATTTTTTTTAAGGATATACTTCAATTTCCCTTGCTCAATTTTCACAGCCAAATGTATAACACTACTATCTCACTAGAGATAATTTCAAAAGTGTCAAGATCCAGGCATGGTAGAACAAGCCTTTAATCCCAACCCTTCAGAGGCAGAACCAAGTGGATTTCTGTGAGTTCCAGAAGAGACAGGGCTACACATAGACTTCATTTCAGACAAGAAAAAAAGAAAAATTACAGTCTTTCACTCTAATAAAATCCTAATCTTCAGACACAATTAGGTAAGTGCTATGGTAAAAATACTTAAGGAAACAAGCAGACAAAAGGTAAAATTCAACTGGAGGAGAAGACTGGCAAGATTCAAAGGCTTCTTGAAGACAGTGACGTAAATTAAATCTTTGGGGGACGGTAGGAGGTATGAAATGGGTATTAAAGGTAATGGAAGACATCCCAGGTAAAAACAACCACTTTAATAACTTGGGTAAGAGACAGTATAGTAATTTCCAAGATGTTTTGCTAATTAGTTCATTATGACTGAAAAAAGATACACCAATGGCTAGTTGAAGAAAGTACTTGTATAAAATTGAACTAATCTATCAAAGGACAAAATATAGGTTCTATCTTTATGACTCATTGACAACCATAGCATATATATAATAAGACTGACAGATACAAGGACTGGCTATACTCTATTTCCTTTGGTCTTAGAAACCAGTACTTCCATCTGCTTATTCTAAACAGGTTAGAGGAGCTTTCTCTAAGAGATAACATACTTTTGGTTTGGAGACAACTCTATGATACAACACTGGCCTATCAAGCATATACACTAGGTTCAATTTTTTTTTTTTAATAAATGGTTTTTCTATGTAATTCCCTGGAAGTCCTAAACTCCCATTGCAGATCAGGTCTGACCTAAACTCCTTTGCAGACCAGGTTTGACCTTGAGCTCACAGAGATCTGGTGGCCTCTGCATCCTGATACTGGGTTTAAAGGTGTGCACCACCATGTCTAACCATGCAAGTTCAGTTCTTAAAACCACCAAATGGAAAATCTAAACAATACTCCTTTGAAAATTAATAAAAGGAACCAGGTGTGGCAGTGCACACTTTTAATTTCAGAATTCAGAGAGCAGAGGCAGGTCAACCTCTTAATTGAAGGTTGGCCTGGACTACAAAGCGAGCTCCAAAACAGACAGTGCTACCCAGAGAAACCCTGTCTTGCTAGGAAAAAAAAATAATGGGAAAGAACTGACCCAGGTGTCAGTTATTAATCCCAATAGAAGAAAGAGAATCACTTCAAATTAGAAGTCATCCTAATCTACACAATAAATTCTAGGCCAGTGAGGGAAAAAGAGTGTGTGTGTGTGTGTGTGTGTGTGTTGAAACAGCCTCACTGTAATAAGCTCAAGCTACACTAACTGTGCCCAGGCGCATACAGTGCAGTTTATATTTGGAGGAAGTGATAAAACAACTGGCCTTCGTTCCCATTTCTACCATGTGGATCTTGGAAACCAAACTCAGGTCATCTGGCTTAGGTGGCCGAACCTTTACCTGCTTAGCCATCCCACCACCACAAATTCAATTTCAAAAGCAATTCTTTTCTTCAGAGTGTTTTTTGTTTGTTTGTTTGTTTGTTTTTTGAGACAAGGTTTCTCTGTGTAGCTGTCCTGAAACTCGCTCTGTAGACCAGACTGTCCTCTAACTCAGAGAACCACCTGCCTCTGTCTCCCAAGTGCTCTGCATGTGCCACCACTACCTGGCTAAAAGCAGTTTTGATCCCCTGTCTGAGATTTTATTTTAAAACTGTGGTAAGAGGTTAGATTAAAAAGAAAATAGTAAATTACTGGTAACTGATAAGTTTACTGGTGGTATTGCACTCTCTCATTTTGTATATTTGAAATTCCCCACAGCAGTATTTAAGATAAAGATAGTCATCACTGCAGAGCTGAATATAAAATTAGCAAAAACAGCAAATAAACTATTTTAAATAGGCAAGCATAATAACATTTTAGTAATATATTAAGTAATCTTTAGAATTTTCATTATGTCTCAATGTATATTTAAGGTATTAGAAAAAACAACTGTTTATTAATTCTACTAAATGCAGTTATCTTTTGCTTTTTGAATGTATTGTTCCTTAACCAGGTATAGTGGCACATTTTTGTAATCCAAGCAACAAGGAAGCAGAACTGAGGTCATCCTGTAATAAAGAAGGAAGGGGTAGAAAGGGAAAGAGGAAAGCAATGGGGAGGAAGTAGAAAGGGAAAAGGAAGGAAAGAGAACAAACAAAAAGAAGGGAAGAAAGGGGAAACATTCCCTTGAGAAGCCCATGCCACACAGGTATGTCTCACTTTCTACAACTCACACCCACGTTCTTAGGTGTGTGTTACTTTGCTCTGACCGTCTTCCTTCTCCTAATGCTTGTGCTTAAGCCTACATTTTTATTATGCCTCTCCCAATTAAAAGAAAGAGAAGGAAGAAAGAAGGGTATAAATGAGCATAGGTTTAGTAAAAACCAAATCAAACAAACCTCATTAGTTTAATTAAATCCTGAATCTACCACAATCAACTGATGACAGTTAAGTTACTTATTTCTTCAGTTTCATCCCACTTACCCCCGGGGGAGGGGTATCTCACATTGCTCAAACTGGCCTCAAATGCATTATCACATCTGGCTTCCCACATTTTGTTCTTTGAGACAGGATTTCATTTAGCCCAGGCTAGTCTTAATAATCCTGAGTGCTGGGATTCCAGTGTACAATACCAAACCCATCGGGTTCTCAATTTTATCATTTATAAAATGAGTACCAATAACACTAACACCAAATAAGGTGAGAGTGAAAGGAAAACAATAAAAAAGAACAATACTTTTAAGTATTATATCATTTAATATTCTCAACACTGTTAGACACTATTCATATCCTTATTGTAGAGATGAAACACATGCATAGAGAGAATGTCAAGACCTTGTAATAAATAACAGACAAAATTTAAGTCTTGACAGTATGTGTCCAAAGCCTATACTGTTTACTTTTATCTAAATTCTATATTCAACCTCTATAAATATAGCTCTTATCTTCCTTTCTTCTCATTGTTACCCAAGGTCCAACCAATAATACCAACTACTTAACCTTCCCACAACCAAAGATAAAAGAGGAAAAAAGGAAAATTACCCGAATTACCCACTGCACCATTGTTCACCAGGGAATTTGGAGCCACAGTACGAGGCCAATGTCCATCATGAGAAGAGTTAGGGATTGCCATCGGTCTGGCAGCAGGCTGTGCAAAGATGATGCTGGGATCATTCAAGCTAATATTGCTGGGGGCACTGCCAGGTGCAGAGTGGAGCATTGGGCCATGGATGGGCCACGACGGGGCAGGGATCTGGAGGGGGTGCATTGGCAATAATCCCATACTATGCATGGGAGAATACTGAGCTGGTGGTGACTGAGGAAAGTTATACAAGGGCATCTGAACTTGATGAGGGGGCTGGCCTCCCTGTTGGGGTGGGCCAAGCTTAGGCTGGGATCCTGGCTGGGCTGAAGGCGGAGGAATAGCGGATGGCTGGGGAGAATTCTGTGGAAATGGCTGAGGCTGAGGAGAATAAGATGGTGAATCAGACTGCAGGAAAACAGAAAAGACAATTTTAAAAATTAATTTATAAACATCTTAATTTCCTAAAAATGAAGATTAAAATATAATAAGTACAGTTATGTCCTTAAGACAGCATATACAGAACTATGTGATATATATATATACACACACATATATATATATATTAACAAATAATAAAATTTCCTATTACATGAAGTTAAAATTATCCCCAAGGTGCTCAAATTCTCTCATATGGGTAATGGTTCATAAGTGCGTCTCTTGCAAAAAGAGAGAACTTAGCATCATTCCCATCATAAACAAAGTATTTCCTTTCTAAACTAGAAACAAACACGTAGATAACGCATGGCACTTTCATACAGTTCTCTGAACAATTGTGTTACTAGGCATTGCTACTAAGTACTTAAAATACAATACTAACTGTATGCCTTCATGAAGCCTAAAGTTTACTGGGCAGGAAAATCAGGAAGCAGAAAAAGATTACACAAGTAATCATAATAGAGCATAATGTATTATTACTATGACTAGACTGGGTTCAGTAGTGTGCTATCTCTGAGCAGGCAGGAGGATAAAATCAGAAGATCCTATGTTCTGGTCAGCCTGGGCTACATACTGAGACTATCCCAAAACAAACAAACAACAACAAACCCTTTCATTTATATTATGTAATAATAAACAAGGAAAAACTACCACTTTTCAAGAAATGTAGAGATTAAGGAATTTCCCAGAAGAAGTAACCTTTAAACTGAGACTAAAGGTAAATAGAAGAAAATCTGGTAAAAGTCAGAGGCTACAAAGAAGGGAAGAGTATTTAGCAGCAGGAATACCATGCCTGAAGGAAGGTCTATGGGCATGGAAAGACTTAACTGTCTAAGGTAACTGAAATCAGAAAGCAGTATAATAGCACAGTACACAGGTAAGGGATTAACGTGTCTGTTGTGGAATAATTTTTTTTAAAAGATTGATTATTTATTATGGATACATATATTCTGTCTGTGTGTATGCATACATGCCAGAAGAGGGCACCAGATCTCATTACAGATGGCTGTGAGCCACCATGTGGTTGCTCGGAACAGAACTCAGGACCTCTGGAAGAGCAGTCAGTGCTCTTCACTTCTGAGTCATCTATCCAGCTCCAGAATCTTTTTGTACACTGTGAAGATGTGTCTTTGCCAAGTTGCCTTCTAATTAGTTTAATAATAAGCTGAAATGACTAATAGTTAGGCAAGAAGAGGGTAGATGGGACTTACAGGGAGAGGAAGAAGAGGAGATGAATCTAGGCATAGGAGAGACGCCAGAGACAGGAGAGGAAGCAGGAGATGCAAGATGGAAGAGAGATAAAAAACCATGAGACAAAACATAGATTAACATAAATGGGTTGTGATGGGTAATAATTTAAGTTATAGTAGCTACTGGGACAAGCCTAAACTATAGGCTGGACTTTCATAAGTCTCTGTATCATTTTTTGTGAGCTGGCAGTTCAAAGAAGATCTGTCTACATATATCTCAGGCTTAGGAACTAAACAAAAACAAAGCAATGAGAGTTCCTGTGACTTGTATATCCCATAATCCCTACAATTTATAAAAGAGCAGGGCAAAACTGCTGAAAATTTGAACTAAACCAGAATATAATCCATTTGCAGTTAAAAATAATTACTCTGATTTAATAATAATGAAAAAGATAAAAAAAAAACCCGATGAAACTAATTAAAAGGGTACAATGAAGCTCAGTGTGGTGGCACACTTCTTTAATCCAAGCACTCCAGAGGCAGGGGCAGTTGGGTCTCTGAGTCAAGGTCGGGCTGGTTTACTCAGCAAATTCCAAGACAAACAGAAGCCCTGCCTCAAAAAACAAAACAGAACAACAACAACAAAAAAAAACTGCTACACCTCAGAAGTCCTGAGACTAAAATAGAGGGACAGAATTAAACAAAGGACTGTAAGGATTATTTGTTTATTTATTTGTTTGTTTCTTTATCACTTAAGTTATTTAAGATAGTCTCAGTATATGACCCTACCTGGCCTAGAATTTACCAATGTAGACAAGGCTGGCCTGGAATTCACATAGATCTGCTGGCCCTAGTCTCTCAAGTGAGTACTGATATGTTAAAGGTGTGAATCACAACACCCAAGCAATGATTTCTCAAATTTAAAATATAACACACAGGATGACACTGAACTTCTGATCCTCCTACTTTTTTTTTTTTTTTAACCTTCCAAGTGCTAGGATTATAGGTATGTGCCACCGTGCCTGGTTTATACAGTGCTAGGATCAAACCCAGGGCCTTGTGCATGATACGCAAGCAAGCACTCTCCCAACTGAGCTACATTCCCTGCCCTAATTTATGAGTTATTTTTGAAAAGAATGAAGCAATAGAACTTGAAGGAAAGAAAAATGTGAGAGAAAACCGGACTGTAAGATAGACATTAAGGCCATAAATACTAGACAAAGGAGCAAATCTGTATTACTAGAAAGAAACGTAACATTCTAGACGCATTAAAGCTGAGTTGTGTAGACACAGTTTCTGTTCCACCTGGCCCCACAGCCATTCATTCCCAAAGAAACATACAGAACCTATTAATTCAGGCTTATTATTAACTAGGTCTTACAACTTAAATTAACCCATAATTCTTGTCTATGTTTAGCCAAGTGGCTTGGCATCTTTCCTCAGTGAGGCATTCTCATCTTGATTCCTCTGTATCTGATGACAACCGGCTCTCTGCCTTTGTTCTTCTCAGAATTATCCTAGTTTGGTTGCCCTGCATATTCTTCCTGCCTGGCTACTGGCCAATCAGAGTTTTATTAAACCATTATGAGTGAAAAGTCTTTACAGAGCACAAGAGCATTACCCCACAGTAGAGTCGCTTTGTTAGACACCAGAAAAACAATGTCCATTAAATTCTTAAAGAAAAGTCAGGTTAGAAAAAAGGTAAATGACAAAATTAGGAGCAACAACAACAAAAAAATAATTAGAGTATAAGTTTATATACACAGAACATGTAGAGTTCAAGTTATCTACTAACCTTAGGCAAGAAACTTAAATCTTCATTCATATAACTAATAATGTAAACTACCTAATGTTTCTATTTGGCTTCAACAATTAATTGGGAAATATAAACACCAAATTCAGGATCTTTGTCCCCTCTCTTTAAGAAGTTCCTAGGATAGCTAGGCAGTAATGGAATACCAACATTTGAGAGGCAGAGGTAGGTGGATCTCTGTGAGGCCAGCCTGGTCAACAGAGACAGTTCCAAGACAGCCAGAGCTACACAAGGAGAAACGCTGTATGGGGGTGGGGAGGGCCTAGTCCTAGGCTCAAAGCATCACACTTCGTTGGCCTCCAGACATTAGGAACTACCAGTAAATGTACTCCACAGTGCCTGGCTACTAGTGCACTTTTACAGCAAGGAAATGAAGTGTAAAAGGCTTCAAAATGAAAAGTTGTGAAGAGTCAGATACAATGACTCTCTTCCTGTCAAACTCATTCAAAGACAAAATACTTACACATTCTGAAGACTGTCTAGTCCTAATGGACTGGTCACCCTGTTGCTGGGCTGAACCAGCCACCTGCTGAGCATTGACAAGATTGCGGACCAGCTGGGCTGCTGAGAGATGACATCACAGAAAAAAAAATGTCAAAAGATACAGAAAAAGTGGACAGCACATTGTACTACATCTATAATATCAATGCTTGAAGCATTGAAATGTAAGGATTTCTGTGAATTCAAGACTTGAACTACACAGTGTGTCTCTTGTTTCCATCTCAGGAATACTGGACTTAAAAGACACTTTTCAATCTCCCATATATAAATTGATTTTTTCTTTTTCTGAAATTTTTTTTTAAATGTCACACTGTAGGGCATCAAACCCAGGACCTGGTACATCGCAGATTTGCACTTCCACTGAGCTAAACCCTCAGCCCAGATCCATTAAAAAGAATATCTGAAGGAAGGTATTATACAACTGTAACTCAAAGGAAGCTGGTGTAGGAAGATCATAAGCTTGGGGTTAGCCTGCATTATATAGCAAAACTCTGTCCCCCAAAACAAAGTATACTAGTACTGGGGCTGTAACTCAGTAGTTTCCCATGTCCTTAGCAGGCACAGCAAGCAGCCTTGGTTAGATCACTATCAACAATCAAATAAACATTTGCAACTATTTTTGATCTTTTGTACTTACCTGCCACACTGCTATTCCTCTGGCGGGCCATCTTGACCTCTGGGCATTCCCGGCGTACATGTCCTGCATCTCCACATATGAAACACCTGAGGTCTCGGGAGTCAAGAAGGTCTCGGGAGTCTTTTTCTTCTTCATTTCCTTCCTTCTCTTCTTCACTGTCTTTCTTCTTTAGTCTAAACAGTAAACTGCTGATACCAATAATGTGGAGCCAAGAACTTACAAACTGATGATTCACAAAGAAACTAAGCCATATAGAATGACAAATGAACTAATATATGCAGTTTTATGTTGTTTTTTAAAAGATACTTTCATTTATAACATATTTAAATCATATTTAAGTATTGTAATTATTTTATAACAGTATTTATTTATTTTTGACACTATATATTCCTTCCTGGAACTCATTATGGAGACTCCACTGGCCTCAAAGTCAAAGATCTTCCTGCCTGTACCTTTCAAGTGCTGGGAGTAAAGGGGTATACCACCATGCCCAGCCATACTAAAAAATTTTAATACCAATAAATTTTGTTTTGTTTTGTTTTGTTCTTTGAGATAGGGTTTCTCTGTAGCTTTGGAGCCTGTCCTGGAACTAGCTCTTGTAGACCAGGCTGGCCTTGAACTCACAGAGACCTGCCTGCATCTGCCTCCTGAGTTCTGGGATTAAAGATGTGCACCACCACCACCCAGCCTAATATCAAGTTTTAAACTTCTAAGATCCTTAGAGATTGATACTTAACTCTACTTCAAAGAAGAAACAAAGGTTTAGAGAAAATAAGCACTTGGCCCAAACTTAAGTAACACTGATAAAAACTAGAGCTCATTCATTTAAAAACTTCCAAATGTTTTATTAAGCCAGATTTGGTAATGAATGTACACATGAATCCGAGAGATCATGACTCACATATAAATCTTTTCTTCCTTTCCCTTTCTCTCTCTCTCTCTCTCTCTCTCTTTAAATTGATGCTGTTTTGAGACAGGGTCTATTCCATAGTTCTGGCTGTCCCTACCTCACTCTCACTAACCTCAAACTCACAGAGATTCTCCTGCCTCTGCCTCCCAGGAACTGAGATTAAAGGTGTGTGCCACCATGCCTATACCCACAGATATATTTTGAGGTGGTACAGAGAATATGTACTTCTCAATTTACATAATACACAAACACAGTTTAACATGTATCTCCAGGATTCAGCTTATTTACTTATATTAGTGCTTGTGTGACTATGAAGTCTTTCCTTTTTCTTCTTCCTAACAATTCCAAACACATAATGTGTCAATAAACATTTCTATAAAAAAAAGAATGAGTGAAAATCAAATGATATAAGGTACCACTAAACATAAACATCACATTACAAAATTCCACTCAAATGAAATTTGACCCAACTGAAAACCTTGAGCTTAAAATTTTAATTTATGAAAATTTAATTTTCATAGTTAGAGCACTTCTGAATAAAAGTACAAATATAAATTAGCCTTACATTTATCTATAAAATTGATAGAAAATTGTTTGCCAACCTTTTCCTTTTGGGACAGTCTTTCATGTAGTGACCTATTTTTCCACATACACGGCAACAACGATCATTAGGAGCCAGTTCTCCATCTGTTAATACTCTTGAATCAAAGAAGTACTCCTGAGGAAATAATATAATTTTACTATCTAAAAAAAATATAAAACTTCCCAAATACAAAGGAAATCAATTTGTCAAAAAAATTAAGGTTAACAAATATTTAACTGTAACTGAAACAACAGGTAAGAAAATAAAGTTCAGAATTATTGTATCACAGGTGGTAACAGTACTAAGTACTTTATAGTCACCAAATTATACAGTAAAATGCAGAGAGGCTACAGATTAAGTGAAATCTCAAAAAAAAAAAACACCACAATTTTCCATTTCAATTTATAGACAAAGAAACTGCAGTTCAGAGAATTCAAATTGTTTGTACATGGTAATGAAGTTGGCTAAATCTCATATACAGGATTTAAGGTTTTATCTGTAGTGACTGCAAAACTCATGCTTTTTGTTACATCAGGCTGCTCCTACAAAGGTTTTATGTACAGAAATAATTTAGCTTATTTAAAAAGTAAATGGATTTGAAATTAAACAAAACAAAACAAAAAACCCACATATATGGGTATTCAACTTTGAGTTTACATAGACTGTGTACATGCAGGGACCCAGGAGGCCAGAAGACGGCATCAGATCTGTTGAAACTGGAGCTACAGGTGGCTGCAAGCTGCCCATGTGGGAGCTAAGAACTAAAAGTGCTCTCAACCACTGAGCCATCTTTCTAACTATGCAATTAGCTTTTAAAGAATAAGTAATGTTTACTATATAACGTGAAATGTACCTTGAAAGGGTCAGAAAACATTTTCCAACTCTTACAATTAAGTTCATGTCTCTTCAATGCTAAATTATACTATACTGATACTTCTATACTAACACCTTGCTTACCAGTCTTAGTGCTATTCTATCAATAGCATACATCTGGAAGCCAAGAGAACAAATCTGCTGCCTATATAAAACCATGTAAAAATCTGGGATAAAATTATGAGAAACCCAAATAGAATGGTAATAAAAATAATTAAACAAAATAAACAATGGTGAGTGTAGAAAAACTGAAAACCATACCTGTTTCTGATAGGATTATAAATAGCACAGCTATTCAAAAAAAAAAAAAAAAAAACAAAAAACCCACAAAAGCACACACACACAAGAATACTGAAACAGATCAATAATTCCACTTTTTGGTATAATCTAATAAAAACAAACATTAATGAAACAAAGACTTAACACATATATTCATAAAAGCACTGCTCACAATAGCTAATACATAGAAGCAAACCAATTAAACAACTAAATGAATAAATATGGCATATTTATATAGTAGAATATTATTCACTCAAAAAGAAATGAAGTACTGACATATCCTACATCATGGATGAACTATGTCTAGTAAAGTATGTCAAGTGAAAGAAGCCAGGACCCCCCCCCCCAAACAAAAAGTATGATTCTAAATGAAGAAGAACAAAAAGTAAAATCTGTAAAAAGAAGGCTAGGAGACTAAGAATGGGAAAGAGGGGCTTTTTTTGAGCCCCTTAAAGTCTCAGGAGTTCTTTCTCCTTTCCTTAAGAAATCTGTGCTCCCTCTTCTGTAAAAAAGAGAGTGTGTGTCTGTGAAAGAGGGGTGGGGAACTGGAGCATGAACTCTAATTATTCTTAATAAAAACCCAGAGTCAGATATTAGGTGATGAAAGCCAAGAAATCAGAGAAGCAGAGTGGCCAGCCACTAGACAGACCCTTTAACCTCTACCTATGCTCAAACCAAAGGGGCGACCCTGTTCTCAGACTGCACCTCCAGATTGCACTAAGCTCTTGTCTCCTCCCGCTTTATACTCCTCTCTCCACACAGTGCTCTCTACCTCCTTAGTGCTGGGATTAAAGGCAAACTTGTACCTTTGTACTGGGACTAAAGGTGTGAGCCAACACAGCTTGGCTCTGCTTCTCTTTGAGACTGGATCAATCTAGTGTAGCCAGGGTGACCTTGAACTCAGAGATCTGTACCTTTGTCTCTAGGGTCCTGGGATCAAAGGTGTGTGCCACCACTACCTGACCTCTAGTAGCTTAGCTCTGCACTCTGAACTTCAGGTAAGCTTTATTTGTTAAATCATAAACAAAATATCACTATAAGACAGGACGAGAAAGATTGACTCTACAGTTCAGAGCAATTGCTACTCTTGCAGAAGACCCAAACTCAATCCCAAGAATTCACATCAAGCAGCTCACAACTATCTTCATCTCCAGTTGCAAGTAGATCTGATACTTCTGTGTACTCAGGTGCACATTCCCAGGCACCAACTCACACGCATGCAAATAATTAAATATAATTAAAACACAAAATAAATCTCAAAAAACCCTCAGATATAAAAATAATAAAATTTTGGTAATATGACTACCAAATATTCTGAATAACTAAAAGCTCTGAATTATAATTTTTTACCTCAACAAAACTGTTTAAGATAGATGTACATGGAAGCAGGTAGCCAAATGGCAGGAAGGGAATCTTTAGAAAATAAATAAAGAAGCCTAAAGTGTAAACATGCTTAGAATGGACACAGAAGTAAACTCAGGCAGACTTAAGAAGCCACAGGACTGAGGCCTGTAAGTCATTGCCACATCCAAGTGCTAAGATTCTAGGCATGTTCTACTATGTATAGCTATAGTTCTATTTTCTATCAAAACAACAATAACAAAGTCCTTTCTCATTTTAACAGTTGCTTAAGGCAGAAACAGACACCATTCTGTTCTTCTTTATCCATCACTTCTAATTAATCATCAAGCAGTGGTCATTCTATTCCTGAATAATTTTTAAAGTGAACTGATTTTGAGATTTGCAAAACTCAAATACTTTAAGGAGTTTAGGAGGTGGCCAAAGATGAAATGTAATAAAAGAATTTACATAATGGAAAATCAAGATTTTGCAAAAATTCATAAACCTAAAATCAAAATTCCAGTAATATAATTTATACAATTTAAGTTCACTAAGAAAAATATAATTTTTTGAGTGTGTATGTGAAGAAAGTAATTCATTTAATTAAGATTAAAAGTCGGTGTTCCCGATCAAAATCCAAGGCAAATATTCATTTGTAATCCATTTCCAACGAGAACAAGAAGGAAGAAAGGAAAAGAAAAGAACTAAGAAATAACGAAGTGGGTCAAAGTATAGGACGACTTAGTGAGTTTTGAGTAAACAAAATTTAAAATGTTTTAACAACAAAAAGACTTATTTATGTATGTATGATCACAATGCATATGCCTGGTGCCCATAGAGGCCACAAGAGTGTGTAAGATCCTGTGGGACTAACTATAGTTACAGAGAATCGTGAACCAATATGCGTACTGGGAATAGAACTCAGATCCTCTACAGGAGCTATTAGATACTGACCCATCTCTCCAGCCCCTTGAAATACATTTTATAGAATGAGAGGTTACAAGCAACTAAAAATATAATAAGACTAACAAATTGTACTGGAAGTCCAGTTAAGGGCAGCAAGTATTTATTTATAGTTAGTTGTACTATACACTCAAAATTGACTAGAGTTATGGCTTTTTTCTCATTAGTGCTATTCAAGCAGAGAGACAGATGATAGCTGTAGTTAGTTTAAGGTTGAACATATATTGATACAGAAAGACAGTAGGCACAATAGAATAAGGAAAAGTATAAACCAGAAAGTAGACAGGGTCAAATGGGAAAAGAAAATACAGACAGAAGACAACTAATAGATAAGAAAGTAGGCTAATATTATATAGTAGAGGACCAAATAGTAGGAAAAAAAAAAGCAGGAATATTTGAGTGAGTGAGTGAGTGAGTGAGAAAGATGAAAAAGTAGAAAATATACTTTTATCTCTATGGTGTGTGTTGGCTTTTTAAGATTTGATGTAGCCTACACTGGCCTCATATCCACCAAGCTGGCCTTGATTCCCATCTCTCCCTCACAAGGGTTGTAATTACAACTGTGAGTCACCAAGTTCAGCATACTTTTATCTCTCTGCACATTCCTGTAAGGATGCAGCATATTTAGCAGTGAAAAGGATATTAAGTATAAACATGAAGGACAATGAATAGTTCCTATAAGTTATAACACTGATATAATAAAGATAAATGTCCAAAAGAAAATAAGTGACTTAGTTATGAAATATCATAGACTAAAAATTTAAATAGAATAAAAAGATGAAAAAAATGATTAGGAGGCTCAAAGGCTCCTCTTTCTAGGCATCAAAATAACATTTGGTTTTAATACTAAATGAAATACTAAAAAAATAAGATTCTTATATCTGCATAGACGGGACTAGTTGCAATATATTAAAATATATATAGCTTTACTCATTCCAGTTTTTTTTCCCCTCTTAAAAGTCTTTTCCTCTAAAACTGAAACCTCCTCTGGTCTCCTAACCAATAGGAAGCAAGCAATAGCTGAGTGAACCCAAACAACAGTGTGTAACAAACACAACCCAGGTCAGAAAGAGGAAAGCCACCTCTGCAGCCTAGCCCTGTTCTACAGCAGAGTCTGAGCAGGAGCCCCAGTACTTCGGATCTGTCTTTTCTGGATTTTAGGATGGGGAAATCTACATCTGAGATTTTGCACCCTTTCACTTTGCCATCTGTAAAAACCTCAATGACAATGAAATTCTATAAGAAAACAAGAAAAGAATGAAAATTCCAAGTAACATAAACTTACAGCTTCTCTGCCAATGAGTGGATAAAAGGGAGTACCAAAAAGTTTCCTTCCATTGATAAACGCCTTCATAATAAAATTGGTCACTGTAAGGAAAGAAGATAATAAAAAATGCAGACTTTACTATGTCAGAACTTTTAAAGCACATATTCTCTATATTTAAAACTTACTTTTTCTAGAAACACCAGCACCAAGGTTATGATTCAAGTCAAAAGGATCTAGAAAAGAAACATTTGTCAATTAATTTTAAGTACTATCTCATAAAGTGGACGCTGCAGCAATAGGAGTCTAACTCTATATATTTTCAAATTAGTCAAGCCAGTGAATTATTCTTTTAAAATTATTAAGTGACAGAAACAAGAGGCTTACTCTTTTATATCAGTTTTCCTTGCTAATTTTTCATGTGGTTCTTAAATTTTAAAAAATGTATCAAAAATTAACAAAAATAATCACCTTCAATTGCAATGCATTTAGATGTCCACTGCTTTTCAAAAGTGGTCAACAGCTTTTTCTGCCGAATACTGATTACATACTCCTTGAAATCAAACTCTTCAGTATAAAAGCGAAGTAGTCCTAACCAAAGCTCTCCTAGTGATTCTGTGTTCTTTCCAAGAGAAGGTAAACGCTTTTTCTTCAGTTAAGAAAAGGGGGAGGAGAAAAAAGATGGAAGAAGAGAGTAAGAGAGGGAAAAAAAAACAGAGAAATAGGTATATTATCAAAAATACAGAAATTAAAAACAAGTAAAATTATTAAACCATGCAAATCTTAATATCAGTAATCATTCTATAATATAAAAATTAAACAAAAATTACCAGTTCTTCTGTTTTATCAAAGAAGAAAGCATTCCATCCATCAACCATTCTCTGTGGAATCTGTTTTCCATCAAAGATCTGTATAAAAAATGTTATAATTAAATTTCAAGTTATCCAACCCAAATACCTACAAGCCTTCATATCATTTTAGAATTTACCTTCAGGAAACATTAATGAATTATTTCCCAAGGAAAAACACTAGGATGTGATACCAAGTAGTTAATTAATGAGACTATACCAAAAACCAAGCTGAGAAATTATGTCTTAAGAATATCAGACACTTCAAACAAACAATATTGATGCTACCTGTGTGGCCTATCTAAATACATCCAGCGCATGATTAAGGAAGATCAAAGTAGAGAAAATAAAAAATGTGCTTAAATAAAGGATTATAAATGTAGATATGCAGTAGATAATACTTATTATATTCCCAAAGGAATCAGTTTCACTGATCCCTAGTACATTTAATCAGTTACTAATATCACATAAGATAGAAATGTGCTTAGGTATCAGATTATGTTTAATGAAAAATTAGATAGCTTTCCCTGACGTCTTTATAAACAAATTATGAATTCTTCTTATTAAGTTGCACAGTCTGGCCTCAAACTTGAAATCCTCCTGCTTCAGTCACCAGAGCAGCTGATAATGTGTCACTATGTCTGACTAAGAAATACTATTTTCTAAGAAAAAAAGATCCACTAAAAAGTGATCATTTTAGATACAATTGGCTTCCACAAGTAATTTTGTGGTTTGTTTTTCTTTTTCTGAGACAGGGTTCAGGCTAGTCTCTAATCTGTTATGTAGCCAGCGATAACATAGAACTTCTGATCTTCTTGCCTCTAGCTTCTGAGTATTGAGATTATAGACATATGTCAAAATGGTTAGTTTATACAATACTAGGGATCAAACCTAGGGCTTTATGTATGCTAAACAAGCATGCTACAACTCTGCTACACACCTAGCCCCTGTGACTTGCTTTTCTAAAAGAGGTTTAATACAATGACTGAATAAAATAGAAAGGTAAACAATACTGCTTCAAAGTTAGCAAAATTATTTTCTATTATCAGGTCTATATACAGATTCTGGTCAAGATAATTACCAGTAAAGATAAAAGATTACATTAACTACATAAGTAGTTTATAAATTGACTTTTTAAAAAGGATTTATTTTGCATTTACTAAAGTGGATGTGTGTGTGTGCACAAGTGAGTGGAGGTGACCAAGGAAGCTGAAGGCATCAGATCTCCTGTAGCTGAAGTTACAGGAGGCTGTAAAAGCTGCCCAAAGGGGTACTCAGAATTGAATTTAGGTCCTCTGCAAGAGCAGTAAGCAACCTTAACTGCTTATGCCATTTTTATAGTCCCCGAATTTACTTAGATTTTTAAAATTTATTTTTATTTTAGGTGTGTGTCTTGGTTACACGTGTCTATCAACCATATATTTGCCCAGTGTACAAGAGAACCAGAAGGATGTCTGACCACTCTCTCTTGGAACTGGAGTTATAGGCAGTTGTTAATTGCCATATAGGTGATGGAAATTGAACCTAGGTTCTCTAGAAGAGGAACTAGACCTCTTAACCACTGAGTCATATTTCCACACCCTCCCCCCAATTTTACTTTTTAAAAAAAATTACATTTATCTACTGTGCATGTGTTTGCCCACATGCAAAAGCACACGGCATGACACACATCACATAGGTGGACAGAAGACAACTTGCTCCTAGAGGTTAGTTATCTTCTTCCACCACACAGAGTTCCAGAGATAGAACTCAGGTCGTCAGGGTTGAGGACAAGGGCCTTTATCTGCTAAGACATCCTGCCGGGCTCCCTAAAAATGCAACCTTCTTGAAAACTGACATGTGAAACAAATAAAAAGTAGAAGTGTCTTACTAATTTTAATACTTATTTGTTTTTATTTGTTTATGTATGTACTGTGTTGTTGTTTTTTCTTTTTTCAGACAGGGGCTGTCTATGTAGCTCTGTATGGCCTAGAACAGACTGTACTTGAACTCAGAGATCTGCCTTGCCTGCCTCTGCCTTCTACTGCTCGGATTTAAAGTGTATGCCCACTACCCCTGCAGTCAGCCAAGGGGCAGAACTGTTTTAAACATAAACACAGCTTTTCTTTTCCCGTCTTCACCTCTCCCAACATACATACAGTAATGAGTACAAAATATAACGAAGCAAAAGTGTTTCAAATCACTTGATTAGTTAATCCTTGTGACCCTTAGCAAGTGGTTTGCTCATGTCTGGCCTCTCAGATTTCATTCTCATTGTTTAAATTCTTTATGGTCAAAGAGTTATAGCCTATGTGTGAAACACAAAACCTCATTAAACCAAAGCTTACTATATACAAATTGTTGACTAAATACATTCTCTATATTAAGTATCAAGTTTACAAAGATTAAGCTAAGTAAGCAGCTTCAGAATACTTAATCTATAATTTAGACAAATACTGTCACTCAAAATTGTTTAGTGTACGTTCTGGTATTTCATAAAACGAAAGAAAGCAAAGACTTGGGGACTGGAGAGAAGGCTCAGTTGGTGAAGCACATGCCTCTCAGAACCCACATAAAAAGCAGGGCATGATAACCTGCAACCCTAGTGAGGGAATGACAGGATGCAGATACGACAGTGAGTCTGCAGTTGGAGTTGTAGACCAGTGGTAGAGTATTTGCCCAACAAGTGCAAGACCCTGGGTTCACGCTCTCGAAAGAGTGAAAGATTAAGAGGCTGAAGTATAAATTCTATCATTAAAGATTTAGATGTTAGGGATATAGTTCAATGGTTGATATAGCTTGCTTAGGATGTAGGAGACATAAGTTAAATCCCAAGTACCAAAAAAAATCAAAATCATACTTGTTTAAGAAACTTGAACATTCCCATGTCTACTTTCATATTATAATAGTTATGACCTAAGGCTTAAATATTTGGCCTATTGGCATTAAGTACATTCACAGTGCTGAGCTATCATCAGCCATTTAGTCTTTTTTTCTTTTGCTTACAAAACAATTCTGTATGTGTTAAATTGTTATTTTCCATGCATCCCTCTCCCAGCTGCTGGCAACTACCATCCACCATTCTACTTTGTGAACTTATGAGTTTGATTATTCTAGGTACCTAATTGGAATCAAATACTATGTCTCTTTATTAACTGGCTTACCTCATTTGGCATAATGTCCTCAAGGTTCTTTGATTAAATTTAATTTTCCAGTTGATATAGTTTAAGAAAGCATAAATTTTCATGTAATCAACTAAGAACAATACTCCTAAATCTCTTTACTGTTAATTTTTATGTAAAGAATTTTCTTGGACTTACGATTTGCTGGAACAGAAAAAAAAACTCTGCTTAAGAACGTTCCTTTTAACCTGAATGTACTATTGATCAACAATAATAATAACAACAACAAAAAAACCTCCAAGGGTTAGGAACTCAGTTTGGTGGTAGAGCCCAAGGTTGCCTAGAGGGTCAATCCCCAGTACTAAAAAAAAAAAAAAATGAATCACCAATTCAAGAGCCAAAACAGTGTGGTATTATACCTGAAACCCCAAATATTCAGGAGACAGTGGCAGAATAATACCAAATGTCAGACCAGCCTAAGCAATTTAACAAAACTGTTGTAAGATATAATCTATAATGAAATATAAAAATTATAAATATATAAAATATCTAACATTACAAGAGAACTTGAGAAATAGTTCATTTGTACAGCACTTGCTTAGCATGAATAAGGCTCTGGGGATCAATAAACAGTTCAACAATCAGATCCCAGACTAAACTTTAATAACCAGCTACTTAAAGTTAGATTTAATTGCAAATGAAGTCAGAGGTAAGTAATGTTATTATTTATATATATCCATAACCTTAAAAAAAATTCATGCACTAGGCCGTACTTAAATAATACCAGAAAACAGAAACCATATGACAACCAGAAAAGGATAGAAGCAAAAATGTGCATATCAGTCTCGACCTACAATCAGAGCTCATCATACTGGGCTCAATGATTGCGTGTCATTTTAAAATTATAGCCTGTTAACCAAATAATGGGGTATTCTCTTTCAACAGTATATATGCTAAGACTAAAATGATACAGAGAAGATCAGCATGAACTATGCATGCGAATGACAGCATATTCATGAAACAGTCTATATTTTTAAGAGGCCATAAATCTGGAAGGGAGAAAGAACGGTACACGGGAGATTGTGGAGGGAGAAAAAGGAAGAGGGAAATGATGTAATTGTATAATCTCAAAAACTAGAAGATATATTTTCAAAACAGATAATGTAAAAGTTTATTTGAGGTGAATAAAAGAATTCTATTGTATTTTCCCAACAGTAACAATAATTTGGGTGATGATAATAGTCACAAAAAAGAATAGTAAAAGAATAATTAAAACCACCATCACTATGAACACCTACTTTTATATCTATTGTTAAAAGACATTCAATTTCTCAATTTTATTTATTATGTTGCATGAGACAGGTTCTCATTTGTAGCATTGGTTGGCATGGAGTTTCCTATGTAGACCAGGCTAGCCTGAAACGCAGACATCCCAACTCTGCTATCTTGAGAACTGGAATTAAAGGCTGAGTGCATGCCAAGTTGCTTTTGTTTTCAGACTTTTGAGGAAAGGCATTACTATGTGGCCAGGTTAGTTAGTTTGGAACTGCTATAATTCCAGTCTAAACTTGAGAGCCTTCTCCTGCTACTTACAGACATGTACCTACTCATGCACTACTTCAGTGTCTGCTATACAAGACAACACTAGAAAAGTTTTACCATTATATTTTGTTTGATTTTGTCTGTTAAGACAGGATCTTCTGCCAGGCGGTGGTACCTTTAATACCAGCATTTGGGACCAAGGCAGGTGGATCTCTCTGTGAGCTCAAGGCCAGTTTGGTCTACAAGAGCTAGTTCCAGGACAGGCTCCAAAGCTACACAAAGAAACCCTGTAGAACAGGCTGGCCTCGAACTCACAGATATCAACCTGCCTCTGTCTCCCGAGTACTGGGATTAAAGGCATGCGCCACCACTGCCTGGTTGAGGATTATTTCAAAGAAAAGAAAGAAAAGAAAAAAA